CGCCCGTTCTTTTAAAGCTAACACTTCTGAAAATAAATGAAGGGTTGCCAACCATAGGGTTTTCCTTAGTTTGCACCCACGTCATCTGTGTATTATGACGTCATTACTAAGTGTGGTTACATCATGCAATTAATGACGTGCGCCCAAACTAAGGTCACTATCTTAGATCATGGGGTGTATATGAATTTGGAGTTACCAACACACAAATCTAGTGTTCCGACAAACTAACCTTACCTGACTTTCCCCAGTGGCCCATTTATCTAACTTTAGCTTCATTGAAATTCATGCTCCTGTTACAATTACCAACTTTTTTCAGGTATTTCAAAGATAAGATAAAAATAATTTGCGAATTCATCCCTCAGCTTATATTCTTGTGTTTCTTGTTCTTGTACATGGTTCTCCTAATGTTCATTAAATGGCTGATGTACTACCCAACAGATGATAGTAAGTTTAGCAATGATGCCGAACACTAATTTACTTCAAATTATTTTGTAGAAGACAAGATAACTTACAGCCCTCATTGCGCACCGTCGATATTAATTAGTTTCATCAATATGGTTTTATTCAAAGAGCCTAACAAAGTTGAAGATTGCGCTGATTTTATGTATAATGGTGAAATGGGCATTGAAAGATTTCTCGTGGTAATAGCAGTGATTTGTGTTCCATGGATGTTGCTAGCGAAACCAATTTATATAATGCGAAATCAAAAGAAATCCAACTATATGGTTCGTCACACAATCTGAAGTTATCTGTGGTAAAAGTAAATTCTTCTCGCAGGTTTCCCATGAGCAAATGAATGCTGCAACCGAAAACGGAGATGCAGAGCAACCTGCACATAACAACACGGTTCATCGTGTTGAAGGAGGACATGGTAGTCATGCCGAAGAGGATTTAGGTGAACTGTTTATTCATCAAGGAATTCACACTATTGAATACGTTCTGGGATCTGTTTCTCATACTGCATCATATTTACGTTTATGGGCATTATCTCTTGCTCACGCACGTAAGTATGCAAGCTTTACAATAAGGTGCTATACACGAGTTCGTTACAGAATTGTCGGAAGTTTTATGGCAGATGGTACTAAGTAAAGGTTTAAAAGTTCAAGGCTTCGAAGGGGGTATTGCCTTATACATAATATTTAGTATATGGGCCTCTTTAACAGTTGCAATTTTGGTTTTAATGGAAGGACTGTCTGCATTTCTGCATACATTACGTTTGCATTGGTAAAATGTTCATTTTTGTTCTTTGTTTATGTTTACGTGTCGATTGTAGGGTCGAGTTTCAAAGCAAGTTTTATTCAGGAATCGGTCATGGATTTCAACCTTTCTCTTTTGAGACTATTCTTGATTCCGCTGCAACACAAACTGCAGATGAATAATTCCATAAATAAATAAATGTTCTAAATAATTGTAATTTTTCTAGATTGTACTTAATTCTGCCGTTCATCCTTCACCGTAAAATAAAGTATCCCGACCAAAGTGTGGTGCTACATAATTTCACGTTTACCTGCTGTAGATATTTATTGACAGTTATTTAAATTGTTGTATTGACAAAAATTGCATGATCGATGTAGATATGATGTTATCTAAGCTTTGTTTTTGACATAAATTAGAAGTTGATTATTTATAATTTTCGTGATGTTCGTAGTCCTGTGAAATATACATGTATCGTAAATGTTGTATGGATTAAATTAAAGGATTGCAATTTACCAACACCATTTTTAAAATTCACATAGAAATAGTGTGATCTGTGCAGATGGTAAACGCTAGCACAGACAACATATACTACAGACGGTCAATCTTAAGGGGAAAAAGCACGCTAAGTTTTGTTTCAAATGTCCCCTTATTTAAAAGCCTGCTATCCCTCTATTTTGCTCCATCTATTAGCGCATACAACAATGTGTTGGTTCTTCTACAGATTTCTTTTATTGGAATGGTTTTGCAAATTGTCTAGGGAAAGAAGTATTGATACTTTATTGTTAGAAAGCTGTCCCACAAGAAATCCCCATAATTTACATCTGGGGCGAAGTGCTGATAATCTTTGCAGGTACACATCACATACAAAGCAAATATCACTTTATATTCGCAATTACGTATTACTCGTTGTCTTTGGGTGCATAAGAAACGATATATCTAACTTGCACCACTTTTCGAATTCTCGAAAAAAAGTGTAATCTCCGTGTTTGTTTATATACCTACGTTACGTACTCTACTTGCCTACTTGTCTCTCCGTTTGTGGAATAAATCTTGCAATCAGCAATTTAACTTCATTTAACTTGGATAAAGAAAACCTAAACGTAAGCAAATTTTCGAATGATTATTTGTATCATATGTAATAAATCCCATTTAAGGTGTGCAATTATAGGTCAATTACAGCGGTAATTGCATTGTAGAAAACGAAAGAGCCCTGCGATAATTGCACATTTCATGGGAATACACTTTAACAATTTTATAAGTAGGTAAGGTGAGTTTGTAATGTTTATTCGGGAAATATTCCCCCGAATTACACTCGTGCATCAAAATAAACCTGATAATTTTTAGCGCATTTTCCAACGAAGTTGGGTGCGCTATTGCAGCCACTTTCTCTGTCCGTCCGTCTGTCCGTCTGTCCGAGTACTTCTACAGTTTTCAAGATATTTAGTTCGTTCTTTTTGCATTCGGTAGCGTATCGCTCTGGCACCTGAGTCAAAGAAAATCTTGACGATTGAACTGCGCATGCGCAGGCTGCGCAATGTTGACTTTTTTATTTATTAATATATTTTGTTGAAATTTTAATCACAGATACTTGTAGTAAAGGCAAATATATCGCATACAGTAAAAATCAGATGTGCGCATGCGCAGAATGCGCAATGCAAACTTTCTTATTTATGGAGATATTTCTTTGAAATTTTAACCAAAGATACTTATAGTAAAAGCAAACGTATTGCAAATTGTAAATATGAGATTAATAAGCGCATGCGCAGGACGCGCAATATCAACTGCGCAGTAAGTGTCAACTTCCTTATTTATGAAAATATTTTTTTTAAAATTTTAACCATATATGCGTCTAGTAATGAAAAACGTAGCGCACATAGGTATGGCCTTTGGAGAAGTATTGATCAATTTATGGAAAATGCGCTGAAGTTACACTTCATACTTTGTTAAAAGAGCATTTTGATGCGCTTGTGCAATTACCTACGAAAATTGTCACAAAGCAAAGTTTTAATAGCGATCCTCGAGATGGTTTATAGTTTTGTATCTATTACTGTCTGCCGGTTTAGTGTGTTGTCACTTCACTCAACCAAACCATGTGTATTGTATGCAAAAAAATCCCCTGAATCCGTAAATGACAGTCTAGCTGACCGGAAACTCCGGGAACATATTGCTATACACAAGAAAACGAAGAAAATATGGGAAAATATCGTTTTTTCGCATTTGACTTAATTAGGTATCTCGTATTCTCGTTAACTATTCCTCTTACGGAAAAAATGAAGAGAACGATTTGCTTAGAATCGATTTTTCTATCAGATACAGTTGGTATGATTTTTTATTAAACAGCGTGCCAAGGGCCTATTATAAAGTTACTTTCTTGTTCTGTTTCTGGGGTTTCCACTAAACAGGCCACTAAACTAATTCCACAGTCCGTCGATTTGCAAAACTCATCGGGACAACAGACAATTGTTGGAATAGGTTGTTTTACGGTTCCACCATCCATAAAAATATTGAAAACGCTCCGGGAGTCATCCAGTTTGAAGGACAAACCATTGAGAAGGGCGTATCAACAAAAACAAATGGTAATTTTTGGGATTACTTTTTTTGTATTTTTCCAGAAAAAACAATAACATTTAAAAATGAACGGTTCTGTACCAACTGAAAATTCGATTCTAAACAAATTCATTTCTATGAGCTCGAGCAATAGTTGACGAGATAATTGGAAGTCAAATGCGAAAAAAACTGCATTTTTCCATTTTTTCTTGGTTTTTTTTTTGTATAGCAATATGTTCCGGGAGCTTCCGGGCAGGGAACTACATAAAATACACTTGGTTTCGTTGTGTGAAATGCCAACATCCAGTTTAGAATACTTTTGGAGCTAATTTGACTGGACAGCGACGTCGGAAGTACGGGTCAGAGGGGGCGAGTGGCCCCCTCAGTTTTTACACAAGGTGGGGCCGCGCCCCCTCTAAGAAAGAGTAGATAAATCACTAAAAAGCGACTAACACATCTTCTACTGCATGTGCATGCAGAAATTACAAAAAGTGTAGAAGTAGAGGATATATTGAAAGAATTTGCCAGGAAACCACGGAAAGGCGGAAAATTTTTGGATATATTTAATTTTTTATACTTGCTTTTCTTTACGATGCTCAATAGTGCAATAAACAGGGACAAAATTTTTGTAACTTGTATGTTCTAGTTCTTCATTATTTTTTAAATAAAATATTAATGATCTATGGCTATGGTTTTCTCAATCGAGTCAAGTATCTCTGAGTTGCTCAGTTGCATGTAACTAGACATCCTCCGACACTTTTTTAAATTTTTTTCAAAACTTCTTTCAAAAATACATTATTTGATTGATTAAATAAACAGGTTTCAGGGTCACTTAAAAAACCCACTGCTTTGCATTAATTCGTACACAATTTTGCATGGGAAGGACCTTTCAGACTCAATGGTCGCTGATTTTTGCCCCCCCCCCCAACCGTTATTCACTTCCGACGTCGCTGTGACTGGACTATGTTGACCCTACACATTGACATAAAATAAAGTTCGTTAAGTGCTCTCTCCCCTAATCAAAAAATGTTGTGATGGTATTATCACAGATACATATAGGTAGGCAAGGCCGTGCGAGGGGGAGGGGCGAGGAGCGCCAGGCTCTGGACGCCAAGTCGGTAATTCCATGGAGTTAGGAAATCAAACAAAAGCGCCTGCATTTTGATCTCAAATTGCCATGGCACCACTGATTTTCTTAAAAGCGCCAGTTTTTAATTATCCAATTTCTTGGATTTAAAGTTCAGAAAATTAAAAGCTATAGTATGCATGGATTCGTAATTTTTTTCTCTACAAAAAACCTAAATAGACTTTCTCTCTAAAATAATTAGAGAAGTCAATAATCAGAAATGAAAAAATTACTATTGCAATTCCTATGGTGCGTTGTTCAAGTCACCACCAGGTATAATAATATATTTATTATGGAAAAACAAAAATTATGTTTATTATTCTAATAAAATCTTTCCTTGTCCAACCTCATAATTTTATATGTGGAGGCCAAATTTAGTTTCCGCCCTTGTATAATAACCAAACCCGCTCCATCAATTTTTTAAATGTTTAGAAAAGAGAAAAATGAAGAATTAAAATGTATCCTATTTCATGTAATTTATGATGTTATACAAGTGAGCGCTTATCTTATCTACGTAAAAGCCGGCGTTGAAGCCGAGGAAATAAGGTTTGAGTATATGTATTTTATTTTTACAAAAATGACTCCATCTATTACACACGTTTACCACACACAACAGTTTTCTGTGCGTCTACCACATTTTACAACAATTTATTTCGACTGCTTCAAGGTAGACAACACACTAGTCGTACTCTATTACGTGTTGCGTTTATTTCTATAGCATTGCATTGACCGTCTGTAGTATATGTTGTCTGTGACGCTAGCATTGTATACTTATTTTGTTGCTTGATTATACATATACATACAACATATACACAGGAGTTCTATTCTAGAAGAAATAATTTAATTTTGTTTGGCAACAACTACCCTTTCCTCACGTATCATGTTGCTTGTGCGAGGGCCCCAAGAGTTTGATTACTCGTAAAAATATAATCTAATAATATATATTGGTGTGACCCTAAAATTTTGGACCATATACACAACACCTCAAACCTAACTAGCTCTAATAAAATTTCTCTCGGTACACAGCTACACCCAGCACAACAAAAGTAATTAAATTCCGACTTTAAATTTCCGATTCCAAGCAAACAATGGTCATTATCAAACTTCTTAAACTTGGAAAAGGGCCATTTACCAAATTTTAAAATGCACTAATTGTAATTGAGCATGAGACATCTCTGTAAATAGTTTAGGGGATCGAATAAACACGCGACTTGCATGATTTTACATAAATAAAATTTATTCTGCGGCCACATGAAATTAAACAAAATCCTATTTAATAAAATTGGACTGTTAACAGCGTCCGAATAAACAAACTACGCATATGCGGTCGATTACAAATTAAACAAATATATTTTCGAGTTACAAAATCCGGGCAATAATTACTAAAGGAAGTAATACACTTAGTCGACACATGACGCAGAAAAATCTTAAAACAATTCCCCAAACAGGATGTAGGGATGTGCGCAATTAAACAATTATTATCGTACTGTAAAAAAACCAGAAAATTCCGATTACTTCCAAATGTACTCCAGAAAAACCGAAATTTGCCGGTTTTGGTTTTATTTTGATCTGATGATATTTGAACAGATACAAAAAAAATAAACAACACTTTCCTATTGCCTTTTAATAGACCGTTTCAGTTCGGAGAATTCATCATGAACTTTATTTTTTTATATGACCCATAAATACTATGGCATTTTTATTATGAATATGATGTCTGGCACACAAAAAAAACAACAAACAGAATGGCAGACTGGCTATTTTCTTTATAAGTGACTACATGATTCTGTATTTTTTAAGATAAATTATGTTATATATGATCAATTTTTTAGGGACAATACATTGTTGGTCTTTGCCAAAATCTCTATACTTGAAGTATGGTATGGCGTCCAAACAGGAAAGTTGATGAATCCAAAATATGTTTAGATAAGGCAAGAATCCCTTTATTGAGAATTAATTTTAAGTCATTGTAACTTGAAACATTAAAAGTGTAAATGAATAATATACACACAGCATCAATTACATAAATCGTAAGAGCAAAAATGAAAGTAAATGATTATTTTTTTATACAAAAGTAAATAAATAAATAACATTTCATTTGTCATAAATTTGTAGTTACAACACAAGTGCACTTAAAGCACCTTAATCTGCATTAGCAATGATTGACAAATCTGTCCATAATTATAAATCTTATCCTTGCAAGGTAGACACCAAATCACCTGCGGCCAACATTTCTTTAACGATATCTAATCCTCCCACAAGTTCCCCCGTTACATAAAGTTGAGGATATGTAGGCCAATCAGAGTAGGTTTTCAATCCCTGACGAACATCTTCATCAGTCAGTATATCAAAGGTATCATAACTAACCCTAAAATAAAATGCTTAGTAAGTGAAAGAGAAAACATTATAGGTACCCTGTGTCGTTTAAAATTGCAATAATTTGTTTACTAAATCCACATCTCGGCGCATTACGATCACCTTTCATAAAAAGCATTACTTTATGTTTATTAATTAACTGCTTAAGACGTGCTTCTAAGGGTTCTTTTTCATTTACTTTTCCTACACTAGATTCAGTCCGGCAATGTTCTTTAACTTTAGCAGTTATTTTGGCGGCATCGGCTCCATTCACACGATCAATTTCTTGTCCATTTCGAAATAATAAAATCGTGGGTACCGCTTCTATTTGATACTTTAACGAGATTTCCGGTATATCTTCGGCTGGGCATGTACAAAATTTAACACCTGAATAATCTATTTCTTTTGATAGCGCATCTAAAAGGTCATTTACTTGTGCACACTGTTCTACCCAGTCTGCAGCAAAATGTATCACACTTAAAGGATTTCTGTAAAATAAAATAATTAAATACCAGAAGCACGTTTTGTACTCTTACTTGAGGGCAGTTTCAAATGAGGCCCCATTTGTCAATAACAGGGGCATTTTCAAGTTAAAATATTGATTTTAGTGTTTATTAGAAGGACGTGACTTTTTGAACGTATTTGCAAACTGACTCATTCGTATTTGCAAGGTCAAAAGAGCCACAGTACTAGCCGACTGAAGTTAGGTGCATTACAATTTACAGTGCTGTATTATACGTGTATAATCAATGGTTGATTCACGCTGGATCGTTGTCAAAATGGAACACACTGTGTATAATCAATGGTTGCGTTTTAAAAATTCAAAGTTTAAGTAATAAAAGGCCAAACAGTTTTAAATTAACTTCTATACAGTAATACAATCTTGATTTAAACCCAGACTTTACATTTCTCGTTCCTCTGACATTGTTTAAATAATTACTAAAGTATTTAGTCTGATTAAGTTTTTAAATAATGCGTCAGGATTCCGTGTTAATCTCTGTAGTAGCACTAATTTTCGTTGGGACACTTTGTATATCCTGTTATCTCTATGGTACAACGTTTGGGTTCATTTAAAAATCATAATAGAGGTTAAGTGTTTAGATAAAATTGGGTTATGATTACATGTTTTCTAACAAAATTGAGAAATTATTTACATTAGTTGAAGTGGTAAGTATTACATTTTTGTTTAAACTAAACAGATACGTTAATACATACTTTAAACATACGTAACGCTTAAAATCCTAAAACTACACTGTTATTGAGACAGTAATTTAAGTTCATCTTAAAGGTACCTAGCAGGTAATTATTGGTTTTCTTTTAATCTTTCTAGTCTTTTGTACAAAGCCATTTTCAAGTAGATTAAGGGCTGAATTAAGTTTATATTGAGTACAATGTGATGTTTTTGTAATATAATAGGTAGGTATGTCAATTAGGTAAATTCTAAAAGTCAAGAAAAGGCATGCACCCAATATGGAACCTTGTGGTACTCCTAAATTAAGTTTTGAAAGTTACACATTCTTCCATTCACATTTACCATTAGTTGCTTGATCACTCCAAAAACATAGGTTCCACTTGTGCAATATTGCACACATTGCACGATTATTGCAGACATTGCACGATTATTGCACACATTGCGCGATTATTGCACACATTGCACGATTATTGCACAATTGCACACATTTCACAAACATTGCGCCCATTGCACAAATATTGCACACATTGCACCACTATTGCGCGTATTACACAATTATAATTGACTGCTTAAGCGTAACTATGTATTGTGGTGCTATTATAATATTGCAGACATTTCACGTAATCGGGTACCTACATTACGTGTTTTATCTTCCTTTAAGTTGCATGTCTTAGGACCATTTTCATAATTACGCTAAAGTCTCCTTTAGCTAAAGTCGACTTTAAGGCAAATTAATGTTCTTTCTGAAGATAAACATATTCATAACTATATTCAACTACTCCCTAACTAATGTCCCTGTGGACCTTAAAAATTAAAATATGGTTAAAGTTCTCGTTAAAAGCTATCAAGCAATGTTTTAAAGCACCATGGCATGGCTGCAAAAACGAAATTTAAACAAGAAAACCACCTTTTCGTAATATTTACGAATATACATACATTTATTTTGTCGATTTTAGCAAACACTATATTTTGACAAATCCTCAGAAAACGTGTGCCGCATTCGAGTGTCAATACACGGTTCACTTAATTTTAAAACAATGTCTTGGTTTGAAACATCCGCCACATCGTCAGTTGCAGGGAACGTAAAAAAATTTCCGTGTCTTCTAAAAAATTTCACTTCATATACTTCCTCATTACGATTATCGGAATCATTTAGTCGTTTACTTAACACTAAGCCAATGTAATGTTTGTGGCTTTTCTTTGTTGCAAACTGAACTAAAACATAGTTTCCAATTGGAAGTGTAGGCTCGATTGTATCCGTCTCAGGCGATGTTATAAAAATCAAATTTTTCTAGACCTAATGCTTATGTAAAATTTTGGAGGGAGTTGTAATGCCCCCCCCCCCTCTCATGAGTGCGTCCCTGATTTTTTTAAACATCTGATGTAATTATTTTCATTGTTTTGTTGCCTCGAATAGATTTTGTTTTGTTTTTTTTAATTCATCACAGCCTACTTAATTAAAATATAAAAACCGTTGATATAACTGGTATCTTATTTTCAATCTTATGTTATGATGGCTCGTTGAAAAGAGAATTAAAAAATCTATCAGTAATCTAAAAATCCCATATGGCGCCTATTTAACTTTAGGAAGTTGTTAAATGTTCCTCAAAAGTAGCCATCTTGAATTTTTTTTGACCTCAATTCTAAATTAAGCATATCAAAGACAGTCACTTTTATATAAAACTTTTTTTTATATCTCTTATACTTTCGATGATATAAGACATTCAAGGAAATGACCAATGTTAGTTTTTTTGAATTTACGTCGAACCCTCGGTCGAACCTATGCGACATTTTGAATTTCCAAAAGGAAATTTTAAATAAGCATCTAAAACTGCAAAACATTGCCCATTTAACCAATTCTCTATCCTTAATAATAACAAAGTTACCCATGCAATCCCACCCGATCTGGGACACACTATATACCGCGATCTATAACACTTCGCACTCAACACCGCACAGCGCAGTTATAAATATTACTCACTCGAAAGACAAAAACCATCGTTACATTTGTTTCATACTTCGTTTTATACCGGTTAGGTTCCTAATTGTGGGCGCCGAGGCGGCTGCATATTGCGCCTACTCCGAGCAGTAAAGCTCATATTGTATTTTACGAGGTATTATTATACGTATTGCACAAATATTGCACGCATTGCACAAATATTGCACACATTGCACAAGTATTGCACACATTGCACAAGTATTGCACGCATTGCACAAACATTGCATTACTACCCGCCCACCTATTGCACACAGTGATTAACCCCTCGTGCTTGGTATTGGCCTAAGAGGTAGGCTGAGACAAGTTCATAAACATAAGTACATGTAGTTATAAAATACTATAAGATACACGTGTATAATTGGTCTTTAAAGCACTTGCAACGTTAAAGGCACTCCGCTTTGAAGTTTTGATTTTCTAATTGAATGTGAAACGTACTCATAACATTGAATGGTCACCACTCTATAGTTTACTTTATAAAATCCGATGGGCTTTTATTATTTTGGAAGCGGATTCTTGATAAATCTTAGAAATAAAAAATCAATTTTGAAAATATCGGAAGATTATCAATAGTTTCTTATATTATTAAAATAGTTCCGCAAAAAATCAAAGCAAAAAACCTTGCTAAATGTTCTTACATAAAAACTCCCACTATTCATTACTAGTTTACTAAATATACCTAAGTACATTCAAAATCTTGTGAATATTTGCGTACCGTGTGGGGGGTGATCTGGAACTGTGGTCAGAACTCCACCAACATGCTCGTGACGAGGCTCTCGACTATTTGTTATGGAGATGTTTAAGAAAATGCATAAAATATTTTGCGGTTAAATAAAAAACCTCATTATAAAAGGCTTCAGTGCCTTTGAAGGGCCATTGGACAATACATAACTTTAAAATTCTACTTAAAAAACAAACACATCCCCAACAACAAGATTGTATGTAAGCTTTTCCGAGGTTTTTCTTCAAATTGAAACACAGAACCTTTTAGAACCCATAAGAAGTGTATCATCCAATCCTGATTTTAAAAAAATTAAGGGTGTATGAAACTGAGAACTCAAAGTTTGTATAAAAAATGTTAATTACTTCTATTTTGCACTGTAACTAGTAGTTACATTGGAAGCAGCACTGGGGTTTTTACTAGAATTCTGGACAGCCTCTTACGAGTCGTGACGGAACGGGCTAATGTGCGCAGATATATTTAATTCAATGTCTTTTATGTTGAACGTTTTTTAACGAACCGTAATGTAAAGGAACGGAACGGACAAGTGTGTGGCAACCTTTATTGACGTTTTAATATTTTAAATGCCATACAGATGCCATACAAATTTGGAGTGTTGATTAGAGTTTCATATAGTCCCTTAATTTTTTAAATAGTGCGTTGGATAATACACTTTTTAAGTGTTTTAAGAGTTTCTTTAATGGTCTCTCAGGTAGAAAGAATGCCATCTACTTATAAAGGCTTTTTTAATTTTTGTCCGAGGGATAAACCACTTCAAAGTTTGTGTACACTAAAATTCTAAAAGAAATCTGAAAAAATTCTAAACAATTATAGAAAATTATACACTATTTCAAAAAGTTCTTGAAAACACTACACAATTTACTAGCGTATGCTATTACGTCAATCGATCTATTAAACCTACCTTTAAAAAAATTGCAAAATACTAAAATCGGTAAATAAATTTATTTATACAGTCCTTAATTCCTTAAACTTTTTACATAGCTATAAAAGTCAGACAGACAGACATCAAGAGACTTTTTATTTTATTTAAAGTGCACTAAAAATTGTAGAAAAATTCTAAAATATTAAAAAAATTCTAGAAAATTCTACATAATGCTAGTAGTGTACACTAACGTCTCGACTAACGTTCTACAGTGACTTTCCCCCTCGCCTCTGTCGTTGGTGATGTACATATTTGCAATTTTTGTAATGTGTGCGAGGTAAAAAAATGGAACACGCGATAGAGTAAACCGAGGTAAACGCATCTAAAAGAATCCGGTGTCCAGTGATTAAAAGATTTGATCATGTGGCAATGGGGCTTGATTAAAGTTGGTAGAATCTCTGTTTCCTATTGGATTTTGTGAATTTACGGTGGTGTAAGATTGCTGTTGGAAGAGGTTGTACCGTTCAGGTTTGTATCGAGTTTAGGTGTAGTCTAGGCGATAAAGACATCTAACTGGACATTTTGAGGTGGAAGAGAAAAAAATGGTGGATATGTTCAGTTAGGTGTCAGAAACAACATATTAAAAATCCCACCCCCCAGACCCTGTGCTAAAGGCTCCAGCCACCCCACCATCCCCCAAAAACCGTGTTTTCGCTCTTTTTGGCTGATATCTCGCGATCTATGAGGTCTATATGAAATATTTTTAGCTAAAAATATTTCTCGGGAAATTTCATACAAGGTATACTCAGAAGTTAACCTAGGTGCCCTCTTAGCCTAGGAAATTCATAAAAGAGGCGAAAATCATCAATTTTCGTGGCTTTTTGCAAATATATCGAGACCTTTAGGGCTAGATGAAATATTTTTAGCTGAAAATGCTCCTCGTGAAATTTCTTACAAGGTATAGATACTCAGAAGTTAGCCTAGGTGTACCTGTTAGCCTAGAAAATTCATAAATGGAGGCGAAAATCATGATTTTCGTGTTTTTTTGCGGTTTTTTGAAAAAATATCGCGACCTTCAGGGCTAGATGAAATATGTTTTGCTGAAAATGCTCTTCGTGCAATTTCATACGAGATAGGTAACTGAAGAGTTAGCGTAAAGTCACCTTTCACCTTCAACTTTCACGTGTGAGGAAATATTCATTGTAAAACAAAGTATTTCTATGTACCATTTATTCACGTAAAAACAGTATTTTCATATCAAAATATTCACACATTCATTTATACCTCAATGTAATCATTATCCTCTGCAGATTCCACTTCTTCAGGCTCTTCGACGTCCTCTAGTGCTAGTGGGTCGTTCGAAATTACCGACTCGTAGTTCTCCTCGTCTTCCGTTTTACCTGCATGGGTACCCTGAAACGACTACGTCGCATTTAGGCACGATGTTCCATGACACTGGACGCAGAATTCGTTCTTCAGCCCTACAACAAGAAGTATTATATCAAAAAAAATTTAATAATTAAGTATATGAATATAATATTCTCTCGTGTGTCCTAACTCCTAAGTGTCCGGTGGAGAAGGTTTACCTGATTTTCTGAAACTGCAAGCAGTCATTACAATTTGCAACCACGTTCACATCCATATGAAATAAGTTTGAGGAGACTTTCCTGGGCTGGATCCGAAGTCGTTGTGATTGGCGTCAGGAAAGTCTCCTCAAACTTATTTCATGTGGCTGTGAACGTGGTTGCAATGACTGCTTGCAGTTTCAGAAAATCAGGTAAACCTTCTCCACCGGACACTTAGGAGTTAGGACACACAAGAGAATATTATATTCATATACTGAATTATAAAATTTTTTTGACATAATGCTTCTTGTTGTAGGTCTGAAGAACGAATTCTGCGTCCAGTGTCATGGAACATTGTGCCTAAATGCGACGTAGTCGTTTCAGGGTACCCATGCAGGTAGGGCTGGGCGATTACGGGTTTGAATAATCGATAATCGATTATGAAAAATAATCGATTACACTGATTAATCGATTAATCAAATAATCGATTAATCAAATAATCGATTAATCAAATAATCGATTAATCAGATAATCGATTAATCAAATCATCGATTAATCAAATAATCGATTAATCACCTAATCGTTTAATCAAAAGTCGATTGTCACATACAAGGAGTGATAAATATCTGTTTGTATGCATTAATACGTTGATTATTTAATAATAAAAATAAAAAATAATTCCATTACTCTTTTCATCAAATCGTTCATTCCTAGGCAGATCGATTAATCAATAATCAGCAAAGTGTCCCTGGTTCGAATCCGGGTTCGGGCATGGATATTTGCAAATGCATAGTGGGTTGGTTGGTAGAACAGCCTTGGCTGAAACCCTGCCCATTTGAAAATGAAGGTCAAAAATAAAAATAAATAAAAATAAATGATTAGGCAGCTTACTCTCCGATGAGGTGTGCTTTAGTTTTGATGATACAATCTTAATTCATTTTAGCTGCTTAAAGTGACGTTTTAACATCCGCTATAAAATAAAATAATACTTGTGAGCTGTGAGTGCTCCTTTTTGCGTAAACTGATGATCCAGCTAATAATAATGAATTAAAATTTACTTAATAATTGATTAATCAAACAATCGATTAATCAAATAACCGATTAATCAAATAATCGATTAATCAAACAATCGATTAATCAAATAACCGATTAATCAAATAATCGATTAACCAAATAATCGATTAATCAAATAATCGATTAATCGATTAATTTAATAGAATAATCAAACCCGATTATCGATTATCGTTTGATTATAATCGATTAATCCATTTTTTTGCCCAACGCTACATGCAGGTAAAGCGGAAGACGAGGAGAACTACGAGTTGGTAATTTCAAACGACCCACTAGCACTAGAGGACGTCGAAGAGCCTGAAGAAGTGGAATCTGCAGAGGATAATGATTACGTTGAGGTATAAATGAATGTGTGAATATTTTGATATGAAAATACTGTGGTACATAGAAATACTTTGTTTTACAATGAATATTTCCTCACACATGAAAGTTGAAGGTGAAAGGTGACTTTACGCCAACTCTTCAGTTACCTACCTCGTATGAAATTGCACGAAGAGCATTTTCAGCTAAACATATTTCATCTAGCCCTGAAGGTCGCGATATTTTTTCAAAAAACCGCAAAAAAAAACACGAAAATGATGATTTTCGCCTCCTTTTATGAATTTTATAGGCTAAGAGGTACACCTAGGCTAACTTCTGAGTATCTACCTTGTAAGAAATTTCACGAGGAGCATTTTCAGCTAAAAATATTTCATCTAGCACTAAAGGTCGCGATATATTTGCAAAAAGCCACGAAAATTGACGATTTTCGCCCCTTTTATGAATTTCCTAGGCTAAGAGGTACACCTAGGCTAACTTCTGAGTATTTACCTTGTATGAAATTTCCCGAGAAATATTTTCAGCTAAAAATATTTCATATAGACCTCATAGATCGCGAGATAGCCTTTAGCACAGGGTCTGGAGGGTGGGATTTTTAATATGTTGTTTCTGACACCTAACTGAACATATTCCACCATTTTTTTCTTTTCCACCTTAAAATGTCCAGTTTGCCAATTTTACAGTCTCTATCGCCTAGACTAGGTGTGCTCTGAGACCAGAATTTTTAAATGTGCATTCTATATAATTTTATTGGATGGGTCTACCGTCAACGTTTCAGTAAAGTCTCTTCACACGTCGAAACTATTTGCTTTTATAAGAATGGTTTTAGTGTCAATTAAATAAAATGAACAAACAAAAATGTTACGCATGCTTATGCCATCGTTTGTGATGCCCATTCTATTTGCTTTCAGGGTCTATGGTTCAAATTTCAGGGAAATCGCCCCACAAATGTTCATCTTTAGGACGCCGAAGTTTTCATTTTATTCTCCAAAATACAAAATATAACATTTTATCACTAGTGGGTAAACAAACTTTTAATCGTTGTTTAAGTTAAAATTCCCTCTGTTAGTAATACTTTTTAATTATAAACTTCTAATTAACATTAAACGACCAAATGGTTGCAGGGATCGGAGTGTAAATCTCATCATGGAAAGTATCGACGAAAGTGACGAAGAAGCCGAATTGGACAGCAGTGTAAATCGTGTGAAGATGTCAAAAGAAGACTCATGGTTGTGTGATATGTTGTGGAGCGATATGAGATCCATGCCTCACACGTATATACCGTTGTTTCCAAAACAGTTAAAAAAGGGTTACAATTTGAGAATAAACTGTGAACTACCATATCCAATATTTGATTCGATTGTTGGGATACATCCTGATAACTACTGGATACCATTTAGCACAAAGTTGAATAAGGATACTCGTTTCGACTATTATAAGAAGCTGTATTCAAGCAGTAGAAATAAAATAGGCGCGAAGGATTTGCAGAAGAATGTGATAAGTATACCAACGTATTTGATAAATGTAGCGTTGGATCCGTTGGACCCAAGAGAAAGTGGTGTGTGGTCTTTTACTGGAGGATTTTTAGATTGTGGAGAGTATGATCAATCTTTGTACATTGCAAATGTCGTCAAGCCACATTCAGTACGTTTCGTAGACGTAGGCAGGAATGAGTCACCGGTATATTTAAATGTGGACAAACGCTATCCGATTTACAGTGTGAAGTGTAACAAGCAATCTCAGTCGCCTCTCATTGTAATACGGCAAAGCAGAAAAGTTTGTGTATTTCAATTATCTGCAGACAGTGAGAGCCATCAGGATCCAGTGCATTTTGGAAATCGTAACTGTTTTATGGATGTAGAATTTAGTCATCGCGTTGATCAGTTGTGTTACGTAAATTCTAGCCACAATGCAACTATAAAGGATTTACGTACCTGTCAAACGATCTCTAAGCGTAAAATATTACCAATTCGTGATAATTTACCAGATTGCCATGCCCAAATTGTGTTTCTGGATGTAAACACTATTGCATTCATAAATCGTTGCTGTTTGTTCCTATTAGATTTGCGTTCTTCCTCTTTTTATGCCTTATGCTTAAAACAATGGTTTGGTTGTGATGATTTGTGCACCATTGCAATAAAAGATGATAGGACACTTTATATAACAACCATCCATAATATTATCGAAGTTAATATTCAAGCATTGAAAGTTAGTAACAAAGTAATGCATATGATGACTTCGCCACCTTTCATATCATCATTGATCGATACCCTTCAAGGACCCTATTGCGGTTTGTTAGGTTCGCATGCAGGTGACACTGCGATTTTCAACGGGAATGACTTTAACATCCCTCAGTATGTTTCAAATATTAATGACACCTTGCGGTTAACAAGTTCTGTAAGAAAATTGGCGTACTTTGGTTATTTGAAGGAAAGATTTGGCGTACCAACCGTTGGCATGAAACTACAAAGAGATCCCAATACGCATGATATTTTTATGTTTACTTCAAATTCGGTTGGTGATGTATTCCAACAGAAAGTTTCGTGTAATACATATGATAAGAGTGACATAGTAAACAAATTAGAAGAATGGGTTAGAAAGTTATCAGTTCAACAAAAACCTGTAACAGCGACAAGTGTTTGTAATTTGAATCGCGCTTGGCATGCTATTACTACTCATTTTCCAAAACAAAATAAAATTAATAATTTTGCCCAGGAAAATACTTCAAGACGTTTTTGGAAAAAATATTCATATATTACAAAAGACATTTCAAGTAAAGTTGGAGAGGCTATCAATGCTTTATGGGTCGAAGATGACGTTATTAAAGAACCTGGCGTGATTACATCACAAGACAAAGTCATGGAATGGCTGCAAAGCACTTCCTAAGTGCCTCATCATTTCAGCATATTATAGGTTGCATTATACACATATGATATATCGTTTTTTTACAATAAATTTATTTATGTCATTTTAACAATTAGATTTTTATTTTGTTTTGATTTTTAAGTTTGTTGTCGTCTTCCCGTCTATGAGGAAGTGCTCCAAATTTTGTTGTGGATGAAGCTTATGCACCAACCTGTATTCAAACCAAGAACCGTCTTGGTGATAGACAAGACTGCTAATTTGAGTGGGCAAAGTCTCTCGAATCCACTTACTCCACCACAAAATTTGTTGAACTTATAGACGAATTTGCAGATTATGTGTTATTTACAAGGTCAATGTTTTTGCATTGGCATGAATTGGTCGTTTCCGCATTCTGCCAGCGCACATTCTACAGCTCTTAATCTAATAACTTCACAAATATAGATTCAACATGAGAGTTGAATTGATCTATAGTAGTAGGTAGGTAAATGCAATATATTATCATTATCCTAAGACTAACGTAAGAAACAGCATCCCTTCCAATATAACACCCAATTGAGGTACATCTCAAACTTGCACTTTGTTCTGAATGATCCAGACAATACGTAAGGCACATATGAATTGGAAACGTCTCAGTTGATCAAGATACATGAGTCTAATTCAACCAAAGGTCCCGGGATTTATTTAAATTATTGGGGGACCAGTAGGGAAAATTAGCCAATAGCAAGACAGTATGACTTGTGGTTATGGTTTATCAGTCTCCATCATCATGGTGATAACACTTAAGGACTCTATATTTGAATCAGTATTTTTAAGAGCCAATCAATTCATCCCCGACCATCCCATGTGACCTAACTGTATTTATACAATGAACTCTACATTACACATAAAAACTGGAGATTTTCAATTAAACAGAACAGAAAAGAAACTTAAGAGTGGATACAAATTCGGCTTTTGCTGAGGTATAGACGTGACTCCGAAACGTTACGTTTGTAAATTTTAACATAAAGGGATTGACTACCTGCCTGACTTGAATTTTATAATTTTATCTATTGCGTACCCTAGCCCTTTGTAAAGGAATTTGAATTATGAGTAGTATTTTGGGACTAAATATGTTCAAAGTCGTATACTATTTTTTGGTGAGTATGTATCTGACGTCCGGACCTATGTGTGGAGCGATTTTTCTGGGTTTTTATGGGAGAATAATCATAAATGCAAACATTAAGTATGTACATGACAATGCTTACGTTCACCACCGCTTTATGGGCGCTACCTAAAATCTTGCATTCTCGCCTTTAGGTAGCGCTTCGTCTGGTGAACCTGCCCAATGAGTGGTTGAGGTAGTAATGGTGAGTAAATAATTAAATTTCAACGCAGTGGTGAATGGAGGAATTGTACGTTGTTAAACTTTTACATGTGAATTTCTTCCAAAGAGAAGGCCCTTCTAGTAAAAGCAAATAGAGCTAAAATGACAGATGAGCGGTTCTATAGGGAAAGCGGCAAATATTATTCCAAAATCTACTAACGATTTACTATGATGGTATTAGATAGATAGATAGATAGATAGAACTTTATTGCTTTTGAAGTACAAAGTATACTTATAGCAACTGAGTTAAGTTTTTGCTTATTATACCTAACAATAAATAATAATAATACTAATTAGCTTCATTATAAATGCCACAAAATAAATGTAACCTAGCAATTAGTTATTAATAATTAATATGATTATAAAATTTGAAAAAAGAAAATTTGATTATTCATTTAAAATAAAGCTTCTCAAGCGAAGAATATTTAAAAAGTAATGGACTACAGCTTTCACATTATCTTTTGATATATCATCAAGAAAATATAAAAGGTTTTCACAGTTACTAACAATTTCCGTATCCAAGGTTAGACCCTGTCGAAGTGGCACGCACTCAAAGAATACATGCTGGAAAGATTATATTGAATTACTGTTACAGATACTGCATATGTCTGTAAGATCTATTCTGTAAGTAACACCATCAAAAGTTGCTTTAAACCTTCGTATATTTGAGGTCCTAATTTGGCACATAAATTTAATATATTTGAAAGCTAAATTGTTAAAAAGTAAATAGTTTTTTGATATGCCAGGATTTACAAATTTGTTGTAAAAAAGGGGAAAAGCTGACGTGGCAACAAATAAAAGATCTTGTTGGATGCATGTTGTTAATGAGTTATCTAACAATTTACTTTTATTTTTCTTAAGGTGGAATGGTGAAGCTTGGCTAAGATTTTAACCCAAAGGGTGTTGAATTTACTAATCTTGTTAAGTGAACAGCAGACCCAATTTATTTTTTTCTTCGGTTTTTCTAAATCATTTGCAAACCATTAGTCGAGGTCCAAAATGGTTTATCTTGAGACATTTCCAAAAAGTCCTGAACATTAATACAGTAAGTAGACTCTCTGACTGTGCCAGTCCATCACTCCAGTAATCCCGTGCATTTTGACGGGTGTGATAGGAGATTCAAGTCGAGACACATTATTGAAACTATTGAAAATGAAGGAATAGGATTGCTCAGTGTCGAGTGTTTATTTTTCATTTTTTGTTATTTTGCTATTATTTATTAGAGATGTTTGTATATGTCATTTTTTTTTAAATACCTTATTGGTTGTTCTTGTACAATAATACACTTGTTTTGTACATTCGAAGTGTTCTTATTGCTGACCTTCTAGTAATCCGTCATTTTCACTAATCCGGCAGTATCACAGTCCGATATCTGCCGGATTACAAAGAGTCTACTGTACATTTCTATTATCCCCAACACCTCTGAACACATTTTTAAAGTGAGATTTCCGAATTGGTTTCAAACTCCAGAAACATCAAAGGTTTGATACTTCGATATCTGATGTAGCAACTACTCACAGTAATTCTGGGAAATTGGCCCACATCAGGATAATGCTCGGGATAATGAATCAAAAATCGCAAGATGCAGCAATAAATTAACTCCAGAGCAACATTTTTTTAAAACCAAAATAGCATAAATATTTACACCGACAAATTTAAAATCCATGGCAATAATTGTCGCAATGATCGTTGCCACTTAAATTTGTCGGTGCAAGTAGTGTTTCTTAATGTAAACAGGGCTCGGAATTGATGGAACGCTGTTCTGGTTGGTAAAAAATATTACAATATCGTTCCTTTTCGTGAGAAATTTTGTTACACCGTCTGTTAGAATCTGAAGGACGTATAAGTAAATTGAGATTGCAAAATTGTATTTTTTGTTTTAGGTGCTGGTCTTATCATGTCGAACAATGTCATAATTCAGTATGTTGTGGTTCGTGGAGATCTGCTCAGGGAATTACATTGGCCAACAGGAGCATTAATTGCACAAGCTTGCCATGCAGTATCTGCAGTGACTCATCTTTTTCACGAGGATGAGCATATGAAAGCATATTTATCAGATCTGGATAATATGCATAAAGTTGTCCTTGAGGCTTCTGATGAAAGTGGGCTGCTTAATTTAAGAGATATCTTAGTTCAAAATCAGATTAAGCATAAGCTATGGATAGAACAACCCGAAAACATTCCCACTTGCCTTGTTTCAAAGCCGTACCCCAAAGAAGAAATTCAAAAATATTTTAAAAAATTGAAGTTATTTAAAATTTAGCTAAAATAATCGTTTAAATAAACTAACAAGAACAATACACTTTTATTTACAAATTTCATTTACATTATGGGTTCAATCATTTTTGGAATGTTTGCACTGGTGAGTAAAAGCAGTACTAATACTATCACAACTAAAAATGCATGATTAGTATAGGCATATACGCAAATTAACATACCTATGTGAAAAGCAGCAAAAATTGGATAAGCGAAGTTACACAGGTCATAGAATATTAAACCTGATAAATGCATTCCACATACTGCACCAAGTTCGCCGAACATCAGTGAGACAGCAAGTGCCATGGCTCTTATATGTGTTGGGTATAAGTCGACCACTATGGCAATAATTACGCTACCTCCTATAGAAGATAAAAGAGCACATCCCATGAATATGTCAACTATTGTAGATCCAGAAAGGCATTGTGCAGTTAAACCAGATAATGCACTTGTTACAAAGAGAAGTAGTAGGACATTTTTTTTGCCAACAATGTTTATTAAGCTTCCAATTGTCAAGTAAGTTACAGTAAAAAATGCGCCCATTAAAAAGCTCACTGTGAACGCTTCAGGTTTCATTTCTTCTTTGCAAGTAGACGCCTGTAATTATTAATACAAGACACCTTTATAAATTATCACATGTTTGATATAACCGAAACGTCTTGCTCAATGTTGATGTGAAACTATTGGCAGACGTGACTATTTTGTGGAATTCCCAATATTCAAAAAAACTTACCACAGTTTCGTTTGTGCTATGTTTGTGTACCGATTGATATTTGATGGCCCTACATATTGAACTCTTCTCGCCAATATTTTCTCTCTCAAATACTCTCATATGGTTCATTACTTCCGGGTACCACAAGTAAAATCCAAATGTTCTATACAAATATGTATAAATCTTTTTCAACATTAGTTTGAATACCTACACCAGAACTACTCCAAATTGTAAAATGCAAATTGCAAAAGTTTTTATGGCGAATTGTTTGCTGAACAATGAACAGGTTTGTTTAAATAATGGTCTAAAAAAACCTTTATTATTTTTCACATCTGCTATGTCTTCATCCAGCAGCAATCTTATAACAGGAAACTCTACAGATGACTTCCCTGTGTTTAGAGTGTACATTTTTCTTAGTATAAGAAGTGCTTCTGTTTCTTTTCCATTGGCTAACAAATACTTGGGACTTTCAGGCAGTAGAAAAATACATGCCGCAAATATAATGCTAGGTAAACCATAGGCGATCTGTAATAAACGCCACGGTTTAAACAATACTCCTATGAGTGGAACTTCAAAACTCCATTCACTGGCGATGATCAGCCAAGCTAATCCAGGGATAACCATCATTGCTATTGAAGTAAACGATGACATCCACAAAATTACTTTAGCCTGATGTTTGTCATTGTGGAATTCTCCACTATATGCGTAAACTACAGCAAATGCACCTCCAATTCTAATCACTATCAATTGGAATGAAAATTATTTACAAATTGAACTTACAGTAATCCATTTGTAAATCTAAGTAAAATAAGCATCCAGTCAACAGTCGCGAGACTGGAAAGTAATGTTATCATAAAACTCAATACCATACTTATTATGATAATATTTCGTCTTCCATATGCATCCCCTAGGAAACCCCATAAATATAACGATGTTATCACACCCAGAACGTTTGCTGTTGACAAATATCCTTTCATTGTAACACCAAACTGCAAATCACATTCGGCAAGTGGATTGATAAACAAAGTACCCATGGTCTCCATTGCCACAGCCATTAAGCATCCTCCTGTTGAAATTAATACGAAAATATTAAACTTCCCGTAACTTGTTAACGCCAATGCGTCCCCAAACTTAAACAAATGCCTATGCTCATTGCTGATTTTTTTCTTCATAGACTTTGGCATAGTGGTAATGAAGTACTGTGAGTGTAGACGTGTTTTAAACACATGTAAGTTGTTTTACTTAAAAAACAATGTAAAAACATGTTAGCAGGCGAGATTATAAAAAATCATAAATAACTCGAGTTTGCAAGCGGTTTTGTAACTACCCGCTATTTAAATAATATATTTTTATATTTTTGTGATACGAATTTATATTTTGTTGATTCATTTCCACTTTTATAGAAATCATTGTTTTATTGTATACGTAAGTCAGTTTATTTTTTCTCGATGTTTCTAGCTGAATTTCGAGCTTTTGTAGAATTTTGAAGATGTTTTTTTTTGATAATTCATCTTAATTGAATAGTTAAATATTTTAATTAAGATAAGGTAGAGCTATCATTCCTTGATAAAATTGTAGATAAAGTTCATTTTTTTCAATTGTTTCATAATAAGTACCTACAATTAAAACCTCTCTAGTAGTACCATTTGTTAGATAGTTGCATTACTATAGACTCTAACTATAAATCTACAGGAAATGTGTTACACAAATGGCATATCATAAGTTATTTGTTTTAACTTATATGCATTATTTAGGTAAACATAGAAAACCCTTACTTATGACTCAGTTGCGACTTTTAGCGCTGCACAGACTATTCAAGGTTTTTGTTGGGAAAACGTTAGCACACTTAATCTCAAGGGCAAGAACTAGGTAAATAATTAAGATATGGTCTTGGTCACTACTTAGTACTTAGCGCCAAGGAAAGATTATTGGGAAGAAGTTTTATGTATTTAGGGTAGCAACATAATGGAATGTTAATTCAGAACTAAGGCAACGCAATCTTTGGAACCTCTGCATGTTTGATTTCATTTCATATAGCTGTTGTGTACTTTTCTCTTCGACCATTTAAACCTGGACTGCTAGCGTCGTATAATATTTCATATAAAAATTGAAGCCAACATCTGCAGCGCCATCACTGGGTATGACTAAAATGAGAACTAAATCTGAGGTGCTAAATATGAAATTTGCAAGGACAAGTATATCCACACAAAATATTTATACGATAACTGTTTAACTGTATACCTGATTAATTCAACTTCAGCGTCTCATTTTTACTTAATTTTATAAAAGTAACACAACTAAATAACACAAAATTACATAAAATCGCTCACCCAAATTAAATCTCGTAACATTGACGTGTGTCAAATTTTGTTTCACAAAACACACAACTGCCCTGTGATGGCGCTGTAGATGTTGGCTTCATTAATTTGACTGTGCTAGTAATCCAGTTATTTTTTCATCCAAGACTTTTCTATATTAAGCAAAGATTAAACTTCTGCTCTCCCAATTGATGGTAGTGGGCCGTTGATTTTGAGAATTACAAGTGTGACGAGCATCATGCCTGGTTGTACGTTACATCGAGGGTCCAGATATGAAAAACTTATTCGTGGGATTATTGGGGTGGTTCTTATACTTTCGGTATACTTTTCCAAGAATATTCGATTGTGTTTGGTCGTTTTGGTCTATAGACCAGGAAGCATAGGTTTTGATCTGACAATTTTTTCAAAATGAATATTAATTGGACATTTTGACAGTAGGTGGGCAATAGCATAAGCACAGATTTTGTTGTAGCATAAGTACACAATCTATATTATGACAAAGGGCGCTTTGGGCCCTGGGGATGGTCACCCCAAATCAGGGTGGAAATCAGTGAATCTCAACTCATATATCGCATGGCTTTTAAACCGAAGAGTTTTGGTTAGCATAGGATGACTCTTCAGACGGATATCATGGGTCGTGGTTGCGCGAGTTCCCAGCCTACTTGAGTTTCGAGTTCCGGCATAGGGTATGGTAACGCATTTGGTTACCTACCACTCCCATGAAAGTCTTATGGAGACAAGTGCTAGATTATATACCTACATCAAACTTCAAACAATTTGATAATTTCCATATGTTTAAAAGAATGATCAAAAATATAAAAAGAAGGAAGTTGGGGCCAAGACCATGTAATCGATACATCAACAAAGATTTAGCAAACACCATTACACCAAAAAAGAACACGATTGCAAATAATAAAAGTTAACGGTATCAAATACATAATTCTGCATTGATGTTAAATCAAGTCAATTTCAAAAACAAAGATTGAAACTCATAACAAATTGAAAAAGATAAAACATAAATACAATATAAGGAAATTAAAGATTACTACCTGCATTATATATAACACAAAATTACAAAAAACGTATACTACCCAACGGTCTATATATGGCAGCTTCAAAGAAGGCTTCGTGCTCCAGCCAAACGGCTTTCCTCTTCTAAACAAAATCGCGCGGTTGTCAGCTCTCAAAAATGTGTGCATCGTCGTAGGGTGTATATACAGGGCGGATCCTATTTCGGTTTTCCCTCCTGCGTTTTGAGATAAATGCGTGCGAACGTGATTTTCGTAAGAAAAGTTCATAAGATTCCACTAGCGGAAGTGTATTGTAAGTTTTACATTGAATCGACCACGACACTGCTTAAAGTATACCCAGACACCTTACTTATTGCCAAATCGCTGGCAACGCCCTGGGGATATGTTCTTTTTGTTATATATAAAATTTTGTTATATAAATAATGTATTGTAAAAGAAGCAAACCGTATTATGTATTGATTAGCGCTGATGGTTAAACACGTGCGTCATATTGATTACAAAGTTTACCACAAGCGAGAAAGCACCTAATAAAAGGAGAAAGTGCTTGTTTAGTGGGGGTTTTTTCAAACCAAGCTCTTCCCATTTCTGTGCGCCGTTTCAACTAGCTATTGTGCAAGCTCCCGAAACAGCGTTTAAATTTTCATCAATTCTGTAATGGGTGGTTTTCGCATTATATTCCTAACAAGCGGAGATTAAAATAATGTTATAACTCAAATATGTCTAATCGATTTTAACTGAGATTAGAGATATCACACCCCGATGTGGCGTTTTCGCCGCAATAAAGTTGAATTGGCTTAGACAGAAAAGCCTGCTAGAAAATTTCATTTACCTTCTAGCGTTTATGTTATCTTAATGAAAAAGCTTTCCCGGACGATATTTCTATGACCTTTTGAACTTAGTGAAAGCTTTTCACTAGTAGCAGTAAAGAGGAAAGCTCGGGAAAGCTTTTTGCATGTGGCGCCAAATTTAAATTACAAAGGGTTCTAGACTACTTGCTACTGGCTGATGGTAAATAAATTACATCAAAGAAAAAATTTATTTCGCAATTCAGCCGCATGCAAATAGAGGCGAGGTTCTTTTGAAATTGCAATTATTTTACCCACCTTTGTTATTCGCCATCAGTGGCGCAGAGCAGTAGCTGTTTTAATGCGATTAGGAAGTGAACATTGAGAAAATGAGTTGGTTAAATAACGCTTCTTTACATTAATATAAAATAGTTGAAGGGGTAGAAGACGAAACTGTGTTGCATAGTTGAAGCTGAAGGTAAGATCCCATACTTTTGAGTGATAGGACAAGTTCTTGTTTTTTAAACTCCGTCACTGTGGACAGTTCAAACCATTCATGGACTGAACTAATATTGGAAATCCATTCATCATTTTCTCCACTATCGGTAATAGCTTTGTGTCCTACACACTCAATTATTGTATTTCGTACATGTGTTACACACTATCATTGGTGCGATTTGGGTGAAGAGGTCTACCCAAAATGAGTGAAAATAAAAATTTAGATTCTGCTTTGGAACTAATAGGTGGGTTTTAAAACTAATTTTGAATGGGTGGAATCAAACTTTTTAGGATATGGCAAATTTCATTACAATGTAATGGCATCATGCGCGTTTTGTTTTATATCTACAGGATTGCAGTACGGGTTAAGCGCGTATGCTATGCCCGCCGCCCATTGTGAACTCAATTTATTACCTTCTGAAATTGGATTTATTAACGCATCGTTTCTTGTCGGAGGTACATCCAGTGCGCTTTTATGGGGTGTTATCGCAGATTTAAATGGAAGAAGGAAAGTACTCATCATCGCGCTCCTATCGGATGTTGCAGTTACAATTTGCTGTGCGCTGACACAAAACTTTTTTGGCTTAATGATTTGTAGATTTTTTAATGGTTTCCTAATCGGCGCACCTGGTAGCGTCACTTTCACCTATTTAGCCGAATTTCACGCACCCAAGCACCGGACCAAAAGTATTTACTATTCAGGAGTTTTTTCGACAATCCCGTGGTTGATACTACCAGCTTTGGCTTGGAGCATATTACCACTGAAAATCGACGTACATTTTGGAGAGTTCTTGCTATACAGTCCCTGGAGAGTTTTCCTAATTATTCTAACTTTACCTGAAATTATAGGAGGAATAATGCTAATTAATCTTCCTGAAAGTCCAAAATTTTTGGCGGAAAATGCCCCCGATAGTGCCATGAGAGTATTACAAAAAATGTACAATGTTAACAATCGGGAAAATGTAAGCGAGTGCCCTATAAAACATTTAGACGAGCGCAATATATGTCGCCCTAAATCGCCCACAAAAAGGACGATCAGGAACCTAATCTTAAAAGTTTATGTACAAGTTTATATACTGTTTAGGCCTCCATTGCTGTCTATGACGCTTTTAACAACTTTGGTTACGTTCTCCAATATGTTTGGGTACGTCCATATATTCAAGGTAAGTACCTATATAGCATATTGCAATCATCAACATTTTAGGTATTATGGGATGGGATTATGGTTACCAGAACTTTTAAACAGAAGAAACGAAAATGCATCGCTCACCACGACGCTTAATACGAACGGCGCCGCTTGCTTACCGGAATTTGACGTTAAACTTTATGAAAACACCATTGTGATAGGAATTGTCGCACTCTTTAGCAACCTACTGGCTGGATGGTTGTCAGACAAATTTGAAAAAAGGATAATTCCGTTGGTTACCTTACTTGTAGGAGGAATCAGTACCGGGTGCATGTACTGGGTGAATTCCCCACTGCAATATTTAATAGCTTCTTGCATTTTTCAATCGACGATGAGTATATCTAACATTGCATTGGGAAGTGTTGTAGTTGATCTATTTCCTACTGATGTTAATGCTATAGCGATATGTACGGCTGTAATGGCTGGCCGAGTAGGGGCCATCTTTAGCAACATAGTGTTTGGGTACTTAATTGATGTTAATGTAGCTGTTGCAATTTTTCTTGTGGCTGGAATTTTGATCATGGGTGGTCTTTTATGCTTCTTTATTCCAAATTCTAATACAATTTCACTTGATTCAAGGCGTGATAGTATTGAAATATCTGTCATAAAAATAGAATCTAAATAAAATATCTTTCATATGATGGATTAATTAAATGTGCCTATAGAGAATGGATATATACAGATTTATTTTGTAATACCTCCGTTAGGAACAAAATGCCACCTGCAAATTTTGTGGTAGTACAGTCAGTTGTTTTTTTAATCTATGCCATTACCAATTAAATACTTATTCATGTTTCAGTTACACTATCTATCAGTTAATATCCATGGAAACAAATGCATTTAGTAAGACCAAAGATCATCTGATCTTTGGTAAGACCAATCTGTGAGATAAATTTAACTGCAACATAAAAAAAGCGGTGCTCAAACCTGAACTGCGAACACTTCCGTCCCTTTGCTTCCTCAAACTATTCTATAACAACAAACAGTAGGTATACCACTGTACCAGCTATAATACTTATATTTTTCACAGTATATAGGTAGGTACAATATCTATATATGGTTCTAGTACGGCTCAATACGCAGTTTTTAAGATCTTTAGTCTATAGAGGGAGATTAAGATAAAATTGATGATGATGCATGATTTTTACACTGACTCATAATATTACTGCCCCTCTTTATTAAGATCTCTAATAAGAGGCATTAAATAAGGTATCAAAATGACGGAAATATGTGTAGGTACCCACTGAATTTAATTATTACGTTTGCGAATTTCATTCAGTGATACCGGTTTACTTACGCTCAGTTTTACCACCTGTTAAATTTAACTCGTAGTCATAATTTCCGCACACGAATTTAAAGGGAAGTGAGGTGGGTGCTGGAACTTTTAATATAAATAAATTCGTCTAACCTATTTTTTTATATTAAATTGATATTATTCATGGTCTCAAACGGAAAGTGTAGGATACTACTATAGTTGATAAAAGGGAATACGTCATCGTAGCGTCGCGGCGCCAAGAAAGTTTCGTAACAGGAGCGTAGCAAAATGACAGAGGAATTAAATTAGCAGTAAAAATCAATACATTTTATACTTCCTCCCCCACTAGAAAAGCACAGTCATATATATGCTGATGGACCTTTAATGCCAGTGCATACATATGAGACATACAATGATAGAAATATTTAAAAGAATAAAATGTTGGGACTATACAGCTTTGGCTGAAACAGCGTTTTCTAAGACGGAACCACAAATAAGAACTGTTATTAGTATTACGTCTTGACACTCTCTGCATAAAAAGGTTTTCTTGAAAAAAATGTACTACTAAAACACCAATCGAGCATTTTTTAAATACCTACGCACTCAATTAGTCATCAGATGTTCAAATTTCGCAATTAACTTTCGAATATTTTAATAATTGTCAAGAACTTTCTGATATTTATTACCTATCTGCGTGTGTGATGGTCAAAAATGGACATGATTCTCTTCAATATTATTAGTTGGTTCGTTAGAGTATTCTTTCGGGATTTTTGTCTTTTTTTACTCTGCTCATTATTATCTTTATCTGGTCTCAAAAAGGAGGTATATAGGTAGGATAATTGAGAAAAATAAAAAAATAGGTATTTATATAATAAAAAATTATGATAATTCTAAGGGTTATTACGTTGATTTATTGTGTGTAGTATCTCTGTTGCGGCTTAATTTTTTATTCAATGGTGGTCAAACTGATTAATGTGGGGATTATTCATAATAACCGGTAAATGGAAATATTGAGGGAAGGAACATTTATTGAACAGCCCCCGGACTGATTTGTTTAAAATTCCATCAATATCTTCTTGGATTCATAAATGGACTATTTTCCCTTACCCTTATAAGAAAATGCATCCCAAATTTATCACATTTACCGGCAATTATTTTATTACTTTCACCGTAACATATCCATTGACAAAACTGTAAACCATTAGGCAACCCCTAAAATTCTAATAATAAATATCTCAATTTATTGAATTTTATTTTTGAAAAATTTGCACAAGTAGAATTACCTACGTTATTGCTGAATTTCGCAAATATTATAATTTACGCATAAGTGCGGAATCTATACCTTTACTCCAGAATTTGGAAATATTTCGACATTCGGCGTAGACCATAAACATAATAGTATGGTAGGTAATTACGTGGAGTAGGTACTAAACAAAAAGATAGCGATTCGTTCTCATAATCAGCCATTTACTTCTTACAGTTCAAAAAGTGTACTAAAAATTGCATTTTTTAAAGTGACTTCTGAGTAATTATGCAATTTTTATCTGGACAAACGTTTAAAAATTACCTCCCCAGCATAAGTTGACGTTGATTGGCTGTTGAAGACAGTGATCGGCCGGCACCGGATACCTCTAGAAGTGGGGAGGGTAACGAAACCGGTGATAAGCTCGTAGTGATAGGAAGTGAACTTATATTGATAAAACTTTACAAAGACTAGTAAATTGTACTTAATTCCGTTAATATTTAATTGTTAAAAATATGGAGAAACCAACTATTTTAATATTGGGTGGTAAGTGTATTGATCAAATAGTTAACCTTAAAAACCTTTTACTAAACATTTTACAGGATGTGGTTTTATTGGAAGAAATTTAGTTGCATATTTAGTATCGAATAATCTAGTGAAGTTCGTTAGAATTGTTGATAAAGTGCCTCCCCAAGTTGCGTGGCTCAATTCCGCACATCAAGAAGTCTTTAATAATCCCATAATCGAATATAAAAGTGCCAATTTAATTAATTTAGGTAAGTATTATTTAGTGCACGATGATACAAGGAAACTGATGTGTGATAAACAATTGATAGTTAACAGTCAAGGCATAGATGATTAATGTATGTCTTTATTCGGTATCAATCAAATGAAAGTCGACAATACATTCAAGTTCATTGCTTTTTAGTAATAATTGTTCGTTTATGGTTTACTGTTATGTTAATTAGTTTACAAAAGAAATTTGTTGGAAATAAACAATAGCGTCTGCTGCATTTTAATGATATGAAAGTTTGTCATAGGTACTGGAATTCAAGGATGAGTTTTCTCACATTGTTTTTAAATGGACATTGATTGTTTCATGTTAATTAAAGCGTGGGAAGATTTTGTAATGCTTTCTAATTGAAAGGAGCGGAGCTAAGGGGGTAGATGACCCTCTCCTTATGCGTAAATAGCACCTGTTAATTTTTTTAAAATCATTAGCATAAGTAATTACTCAATTACAAATATTTGCATTGTTAAAACAAAAATGTATAGATGGTTTCGTTTTTTGGCTTTTTTCTCAGCTGGAGCATATTTCTGCAAGTATGTATCGTATAGAAGCATAGGTACTTTTAAAAAGACAGATTTAGAAAATGTAGTATTTGAAAAAAATATTTACCAAACATGTATAACGAGGTCGAGACAGCACTCTTGAGCATTTGCTCCTTGTCTTTGAGGACACTTCTTGATAGTAAACATAGTTCAGTTACCTCGTTTTACCTCTTGCTACTTTTCATGCATTTTTTCATTTAGAGTAGTGAATAACCGACATCACTTACTAGTGAAAACTGTTGTTTAAGTCAAATTGTAAGCAATGTTGTGTTACTTCTGCCGTTAGTTTTCTTTGTCTCCTATCAAAATGGGAGTGTTATACCAGATGTTACTCAATTTTTTTGACAGTAGGAAAAAAACGATTTTGTGCATGTGTTAAGAGTAATTCTGTCTCGAATTTTGTTAATGTCAGAATAATACTGTAATATTTATTAAAATAATGTTCCCTGATGATGACAATTTTACTGTTGAAACAGGTTCTTTTAATATATTATGTACTATACTGACTAAAATTCTGTTTCGCGGTCTGTTTTCACATTCGGTTATTTAAAATGAACTGATTTTTTGAAAATTTAAATACTTATCTCCACTTCAAAAATTATGACCAACTGTAAAATCAAGATTTCTAATTTTGATGTGATAGACCGGATAAACAGTGGCAGATTTCGCACGTCCAAGGCTCAAAATTTAGATGATTTACTAAGCTTATTTTCATTAAAAATAGAGCAAATTCCTATGAGAATTCCAACCATGCTTAGGGTTTGTTATCTCAGTTTTAACATTTACAGTGACTCTGCCCGAAAGAAAGGAATTTGATTGCTAAATTTTCCTCGCTACGAAAGCGCATTTCAATTTTTTATTACTCAAAATATTTTACTGGATTTTTAATTACAGATTGTAATAATATCAAATTTAGTGGACAGTTTAAGAGTGGATTTGGCTGTTTAGTTAAAAAGTTGAATGGCCTATATTTGCTTGCTAAACCTGTCATAGGCCGCTGTTGATATGACTTATTACTCTTCTGCATTCTGACATACAGTATAGACTTGTGGACTCGAGGAACATGTTTGTCTTCCTTTGGACGGGTCACTTTAATTCCCGGAGGGATTAAAAGTTACAGAAAACAATGGAAATGTCAAATGGATTTACGATAATTCAACCAGATCTCAATTGGGATTGGTAGAAATTATCATGAAGACAATACTCGGTCCTCAGTCGTTACCATTAAATTATATGAAACCAGTTAATACATTTATAATATGGTAATCTTATTTAAGATATTCCACATTTTACAGTAAACATATAACTCCAATAATAAGGTTGTAAGTAAAATTGTTAAAATAAGAGAGAGAATTGGTCTGAATATGGAGAGCAGTATGTGGGCAATCTGCGTATTATATTAATAAAATTAATGCGGAGTATGTTTCCAGATTCTTGTAAAAACGCATTCTCACCATCATCCGAAGTACACACATGGGACTATGTTATTAATTGTGCGGGAGAAACAAAACCAGCTCAAACTGACCCGGTTTATAAAGAGGGTATACTTAAATTAAGTCTTAATTGTGCCAATCAAGCCGCTTTACATAAGGCAAAACGATACATCGAAATATCGTCTGGTCAAATGTTTAATGCAGATAAAGTTGCTCATAAAGAAGACGACGCTATCAAACCGTGGACTTTTATAGCCAAATGGAAGCGACAGGTAATATTTGCCCCACCATGAAAAAGGTGTACATAGTCAAATGTTTGCAGGTCGAAACCGAATTAGAACAAATTCCAGATTTACGTTATACAATTGTAAGGCCTGCAATTACGTACGGCTTGGGAGATAAAGCTGGTCTTATGCCCCGATTAATGGTGGCAGCCATATATAAACAGCTAGGTGAAACGATGAAGCTTCTGTGGAGTTCTGATCTTAAACTTAGTACTGTACATGTAAATGATATTTGTCGAGCTATATGGTTTCTTTGTAGAAGAGACGATACTGTTGGTCAGGTATGTTTCACATCAAGATAATGGTTTAGTGATCATTTTTTTTGTAGATCTACAATGTAGCTGATGATGCCGAGTCAACTCAAGGTTCCATATGTGGTCTATTAACCGACATTCTTGATGTAAAGGTTGATTATTATGGTAATTTAGTATCATCTGCGGTAGACTTAACAGCAGCAGCAGACGATGCTAACGACAAGCATCTGAAACCATGGGCGGAAGCCTGCCGAAAAGATGCTGTCCAAAATACACCTTTATCACCACATATGGATTATGAGATTCTATTACCAAAAAATTTACATTTAGATTGCAGTAAAATTAAAAAACTCGGATTTGAAGTAAGTATTCCAAAACCGACTGTCGAAAATTTGCAAGAAATAGTGAGAGATTATGTCGATATGAAAGTATTCCCTAATTCGTTGGCTTCATAATAGTTCGCTTGTGAACCATTACTAACTAATGGTACAACGTAACACAGAGAAACATTTTTTTATAAAGGAATTGTTCACATGTTTGGCATTCATTTCAGTTTGGCTACTAATTAATAGTGTGTTTTTTGACTAATTAACACAAGCGTTCAATACATTCCACTGAATCAAACACTGTTTAAACTTCTCTTAAACCTGGACAGGTAGGCTTTGTTTCACTGTATGAAGATCAATCTAGTCTTATCACAGATTAAGCGCGAATCGTGTTAAACACTAGTCCTGAGAGTTAAAGTCTCCATAGTATATACCGTAATCATCCGTCATTTTTGGGCATAAGTTTAAAGTTAAAATGGGGGCTGGTACTTTCTATATCTAATGACATTGAGTTGTTGGAGTTTCGTAAATTGATATCTATGTACTTACCTATCACTTTTACCATGGTATGCTTATGCGCATGTGCTCGTGACGTCATTGGGATAACTTGGCTCTACCACTCAATAAAGTAATGGGGTTTGTATTAAAAGTGTATCCCCTTTACGGATGTGATAAGATTTGTTCAATCTATGTCAACTGCGTCAAGTTTCGCACATTAAACTTACAAAGTATCAATTATTGCATGTTATCAATACAAATATTTAAAGTTACAATAAAAATATATAAGTAGAAATTATATTCGCGTTTCCAAATAAGGACGAGACCTCTAGCGGCAATAAAAAAAATTTAAAATGCTATTATTTTTAAATGCATCCAGTGCGCTTACTCAAACCGACAATAAAGAGGTCATCTTAATGTGTTGTCACAGAAGATTTCCAAGGATTTAAAATGTGTCCAGTGCAATATATTGCAACTATAATTATAAATCGAGTTTTAAAAAGCATCTCTTAATGAACAACAGTTCCAAGGACTTACAAGTGTGTTCAGTGTGACTGCAACTAAACAGTTTAAAAAAGCATATGTTGATACACACGAAAATTCCAGATGTGTACTGTGTGATTTTACAATCAATTGTAAATCCAGTTTCAAAACCCACTTACAGAGATAGAAAATGAGACACAAAATGTGCCTACAGTATAATTATACTACCAATAGTAAATTGAATTGTAAAAATCATCTGTTGACACCTACGAGTAAAAAATAAGAGGAGGGAATATAACGGTGGTGGGAAATAGCATAACACGCGACGGAAGTCGTTAAAATATCACTTCCTTTGCGCTGGTCAGTTATGTCGAATTGACTTATCATAAAAGAGAAGAGACGATGTCAGTTTTGTTTTATTACACCACTGCCAATAATGAAGCGTTTCTCCCCACTCTTCTCGCACTTTTATCACTTCCTTTTTGTCCATTTCCGTCAAGTCCCCTTTTAATGCAAGGTTCTCTCCTTTTTTTTTTACTCGTAGGTTGACACACAAGACTTCCAAGGATATAAAATGCGCCCAGTGTAATTACGCAACCAAAATACTTCTCGCTTTAAAATGCAGTTGCTAACTCAAAATTCACTTAGCTGTGGTCTGTGTGATTACACAATCAATTATATCTTAATTTTAAAGTGGTGAAAATGTAGCCAATGTAATTTTGTAACGAATATTAACACTTCAGAGCACATTTATTACCCATGACACTTCCAAGGATCGCCACCAAAGTTATTTATCCATCATTATTACACACTAATTGAGTAATTGCAATGGCACTTCTAATTCTTATATGGAGCATATGCCATTTTCAAACTTGGCGGTGATTCTTGTGACGTCATCATTGGGATAAAAACGTCATCTGTGCGAACTTGACGAATTTGCGTTCAGTTATAGGCATACCTTAGTTTTACTATCTCTGATCCAAGGCACGCCCATTTACATACAGAAATTATTTGATAAACATTATAGTTTTGGTTGGTTATGGAAGAGGCGGTGTATAAGTGTCTTCCCAGATTTACCATTTTCAAGATGGTATTTGTATATTAAAACAATATATCAATATTTCCGCCACCTTTGATCCCTGCCACTAGCCCTACCATCAAACCAAATTTCATCAAAATCCAAGAGAGTTGGTTTGCTGAATTACAGTGATTTGATATTGAATGGCCGCGATGCAAAAAAGCAGTGAGGACCCTGTTTGCGTAAGGCTAAGGCTTAAGTCTGTGACTACTATTAGGAGATGGAAGGAGTGAAGTTAATCCATTGTATTATATCTCATTGTGTAAGTAATTGTCTGAAACAGTGTCTTTTCCTATTACATTTGTGTCTGCTAAAGTTACAAATATCTCGTTAAAAATATTGTGAAGCTTACATTGCTGCAAAGTTTGAAAATCCTCAAAGTTAGGATTTGACTCATTTTAACATTCAAATGTTAAATCCAGCAGTGATCCAGTATACAGAACAGGAATTTTAAACAGTGAAAATGGTACGTCCATTTTGAAGACAGGGGAATGTGTCAAAAAATTCATCACTTTTTCTATTTGTTTTTAAATAAATTTTTAGGCAAGGCATTCCATGTTTCTTAGATATAATTTAAGTACTGCTTATTTGTGATTTATTGGATAAAACGTATATTCAGTTATAGTGCACGAATGTTTTACTTAGTATACAATTAATGTTAGTGCATACAATGCTGTAAGAGATGGAAGAATCCTCTTAAAAAATGAAAGTGAGCAAAATGCTGTGGTAATTATTGTGTACTTAAATATTTGAATGAAACTTGATCTCATATGCATCACAACTAAATACTCTCTTTTTCAGTTTTCAAGATACTTAAACATTCTGCTCACTTTAGCTTGCTTAGTATGATTAGTCATTTTGTCTATAAGTAGAGTCTTAGTGATGAGCTTCCTCTTTCTACTAACGTCCGATGCTTCTACGACAATCCCTTGGCTGTTGAACAGTACGAATACATTAATATTTTCAAAGCTTATTCTTATTTTATTAAATTCACATTGTGCCTAAATAAATTTTCTGGTCAGATTATGGTTTAATCGGTTAATATTTTAAGAAAAAGGAGTCAGCAATGTGACAAAGTTCTGTGTCAATTTTAATTGGACATATTGTGCAAAATTTGTCCTGCTTCCTCAATCATTATTAAGTTAATGAGATTAACATCATTAAAGGTTGTCACATTGCTGCCTCTACTACTTAAGTAATAAGTGTATTGTGATTATTTGTAGCAAACTAGTATTTATTAGATTTTTCAAAAGTTTATGTTTCTGATATTGTCTTGAAATGTACCAATTAGAGTTGTTATCAGCGTCGTTGTTAAATCAAGTTTTAAAATAAAATTTTTAATATATAAGGCATTTATTTAACCTTTCTGGTACCAGGTGATTTTAAAAACATCCAATATTGGGTGAATTTTCACTCCATACTGTTTTTTCGTTTTCTTAACTACTTGCATGTTATTTATATGCATTACTCCGGAGTGTGCGTAATGCATTTCCGTACCTGTGAAAAAAATACACGAAATCCCTATGTCTACTTCTTAACAAATATCACTGTATATCAGTTTCAGTGGTTGATTTATTGTAGTTATCAACTGCACCTTCATAAGCAACGAATTGGAGTGTAGGCGAGAGTGTATGGGTCATGGCCATTTCTTTTGTGAGTTGCGTATTTTTATATTTAAATGCCACTTAAATCATGTATATGTTCCATTTATCTAGAGGCGGTCGATTATTGCGAAAACTGCAGGGCTATCAAAAAATGATAATACACAAAATATTCTTTATATGAAGGGGTCCATTTAATTCTTTCAAATAGAAACCTATATTTTTCATTGAATATCCTTATATTCTACTCATGTCTATGTATTATACATCGGAAAATAATAAACTTTCCTGGGAATCGTTATTTCCCTACACTTATCATTTCTTGACGACATTTATACAGCGTGGGGTTAGGTTTGGGCACGTACAGCCTCCCCTTCCCTAGTGTTAGGTCCATGGATTAAACCCTGTGATGGAAGGTTTGTGTAATTATACATATGTATGTATGATGTAAGTAACGTGTTGTTGTTAAGATGCTATATTTCTTCAACATATCTCTGCATGATTGGCTACTGAGCAAGCTGAATAGGAGTCTTAAGAATACATTTTTGCGCAATAAAAATAATTAAATTTTGAGGACTGACCCCAAACTCACATTATAGGACAGCAATGAATGTATAGTTGCGTGATAGATATTGGCTGCACTGACTATTGGTAATGTGGTATGGATCGTAGGTGATTTAGTAATAAACATGATCAATCATCGTTCTCCAACTCGTCTAATCCATACCTACTGAGACATGTGTGGAATTAAGAACTAAATCTACCTATCAAGTTTAATGGTGATGTGGGACCACACATGAACATAGACAGTATAGATAGAATTGAATCAATATGACTTGCTTCAAATTTAAAAATAAAAATGTACACATGATAAAAACTTCTTTATTATACAAAATATTTATTAGTTTGAGAACACTGGAGTTATAATTATATTAATTTTTAGTTGATCTCTACGACATCCAGTTAGGAACATGCTTTTGGGTTTTGGATCCGATTCCAACGATCTTGAAAATACTTCGCCTGCAGGTGGGTTTAGTTCTTCAAATGGAATTAAATTGTCAATCACCAGCACCGGGTATTGAGAATTAAAATGATGTACCCTTTGTTTGACTTGCATTATATGTTCAATTCCTCCCTGCGTTCCATACAATAACACACCAACATTGCATTTCATATCTTCTTTAAATTCTCTACAAGTTAGACTTAAACGGATAGTGCTTTTCACTCGTTCTGGTACTTCTAATGTACCTTGCCAAACAATTAAGTAACATTTTTTAAAACAAACTCCTTTGGGATACAAGTCGACAACCCACTCACTAATTTTATCCGCTTCATACTCTGCAGCCGACATTCGAGTTGAGAATACTAATGTTGTGACGTTATAACTAGGTATGCTTGGCACATTTTCAATAAGTAAGGTTGTATTAAACGTATCACAAGTGTACAACCGAGGTGTACATAATATTCTACCTTTATCTGTCGAGCAAAAATTATCGATTTCGTCGCTCCTTCCCTTTTGAAACAACATTCCTACTGCCATATATTCCAGCATGCTTTGACTATAACGTTTCATTAATGGAGATAATAATAAATCGGCTAACTCCCGTGGCGACATCATCGGAAATCGGATACACTTCATAACACATTGCACAATATTAACCATCAGTTCCTGCATTTCCGTATCGGACAGTTTCATTTGATTGTAACGAATTTCTTGTAAATCTAACCACCTTACAACGCAATTGTATAGAACCATTTCATTATAAACAACGATATCACTTTGCTTAAGTAAATCACATAATAAATCGGTTTCAAAGTTGCTAAAGTCTGGAGTGTTGGCGACAGATTCGAAGTTCCATTTTATGTAATTCTGACATAAATTTGCAACATTATCGTATCCACAAGTAGTTGTATATTGCAACCAAGAGAACAGTTGATTGTGTGAAGCAGCATGCGCGATGTGTTTGGACATATACTTTATACACACTTGTGTTAAGCTCTACAATAAAATTCTTTCATTGTTAAGCGCATACAAAATTGAGGAGGAAACCACCTGTACACATAATTTCGATTAAGCGATTCATTTTTCGCGGGTAGTCCCTTAAGAGTGTGGGTATAATAATACTAATAATTTTTTGTTATTCCTGTACTCTCAAACACGAGCATAGGAGTGTCAAATTGTACAATGTTCTCGCATATATACATACACAAGTTATAATATTATTGATTGAGGTCGCAATTAAAATATTCTTGTACTGTATAGATAGTATTTTTTATCAGTACCTGTTTTACAGCTCTCTTGAATTCATTATACTGCGAAATAGATTTAATATTTTCTTGAACAATTTAATAGCAATAATACGGATAGGGTATAGAAGTTCCAAATTAACTCTAAAGTACCTAATGCCCACTATCTCCCAATGATCAAATGATACATACTGCTAATAATTCCAAACAGGTAGTACCTACACCTCGATCTACACACATTTTCACAAGTGGTTTCCCCCTTACAAAATACTGACCTTAACCATGTATTTGTCGGCTAAAGCTAATATTGGCATCACATTTGTGTGCGTAATAACTATTTTGCCAGTATAAAAGTATTCTAAAAATAAATGAAACACGGCTTCACATTGGGGTAGTTCTTGGAGTGCAATTTTGCTTTCATGCCACTCACTCCACTCGGGTTTCATTAACATAGCCTAAAAACACTAGCATAACTGATGAATTAAACAAAAAAATATAAGTGCCTACCTGAAACACATCGCTAGAGGCACAAAGTATTAAACGATGTGCCGTATACTCCTTTTGTCCAACAGTTATTACTACATCACACATTTGACGTTCCTCATACAAATTTTTCAATGTGCCTAAGATCTTCTGCGAATTATCCACCTAAGCAAAAGGTGTAATTTAAGAACACAGTTAATGGAGATACATACGCTTATTTGACAAGACGTCTCATAGTCATTTGTGTCCATATTTCTCTTGATGGTAGATTTTAATGGTAATATATCATCATCGCCAGAACAATAATCTTGTTGCAACATTCTAGTAAAGAACTGGCATTCAAATGTGATAAATTAAGCTAAATAATGCTGAACAAAAAAAAAAGATACAACTGATCATTTCAAACAGAATGAAAACTTACGTGCGAAAGAGGAAGGTAATCATAATTATTAATACATAATTGGCCTAATAATATTGTAAACAAATTAACACAAAGTAGTGTTTTTGCGGGTTGACTTCGCTGCTTTGCAAAACACAAGTTCGATTTTGAGGTTATGTTTTAATACAACAAATGTCAAAATCATATGGCACAGATAGAACAGGGCCGCATTCAATGCATATAGACGAGGATTTCACGTACAAATTTTTAGCCTGTGAAAATGTATATAAAATTATGGAGATTTTTCTAGATCGATTCGAGATTAATCACTGCACTTAACAATTTGAAAACTGCATTCCTTATATGCGCGCAGAGCTGGGAATAGTATATTACGTAACGAGTGTTGAAAGCGATACTTTTCACACGAGATGTGAAGTTTGCCATACGAGGCGAAGCCGAGTGTGGCAATCACACGAGTGTGAAAAGTGGCTTTCAAACGAGTCATGTACACTATTTTTCCTACGACTCTCCATACAACCAAAATACTTACATAATGAAACAAAAGTTATTTTATTTCGAACCAACTACTAAAACTATCTAAAAATACGAAATAGATTCAATTTCTCTTTAACGAACTATTGTTATAATTACTTTAGCAAAGACTAAAGAGGTACTTGTGGTTTGGAGCTTCTGCAAGAAATTTACTAATATTATTAGACGTACGCTACTTTTTATACCTCAGCCGTAATTTAGTTGGTAGTAATTCGAGTGTAGTGGATTTTGCCTCTTCTCTGATGTTGGGTGGAGTACACTCTACATCCATGGAAGAATCACTTTTCGCCATTAAAAATAAGTAAGGAATTAAATGTGTAGCACAAGGGAATAAACTCAAGAATAAACTAATCGCAATTTTAGAGTTTGACGTACGCCTACTACGTTGATGTTACAAGAAGATTAGACTACTACGAAAGCAAAACGTAACATGCGATTTGCTTTCTACTACATGGTAAATCTTATGAGAAAGCAAATCACACGGGTGCGTTTTGTTTTCCGTTACATTTTGCCATAAGTGAGCGAAATTGTCAATTTTCAAGTAAACATAATTGTACGACATATGTCATTTTCAATGAATGTCGTAGGAAAAGTTACTTTGATAAAGTAACTAAATAAAGTAACTAAGTTACTTTCCATAGTTACTTTCCAAAAAGTAACTTAAGGTACTTGAGTAACTAGATACTTAGAAACAAAAGTAACTTAGTTACAGTTACTAGTAACTAAGTTACTTTTAAAAAAGTTCTTTTAAAAAGATACTTTCGAATTGTGGAATACCCTGGGCCACTTAGTTTTTATTTTAAAATCAACAATTTGTGGTGAGATACACATAAATTTCTTTCATGATTTGTATCAAAGGTATGAGGGCACAGCACAGTTGATTTTTCAAACAGCAACCAACTATTTGGCAACCGTAACGTAATCGAAACAAACAATTTTTTCTATTTAGGGTAGGAATCGTGTAAAAATATTTTCAGAAAAAATGGTATTAAGCTTACTAAAAAAATTCCTAGTATTTCGTTCACAAGCACAACAGTCTCACGTTTACAACTAACAAGGCAAATGGCAAGTTGCAAGGAATAATTTTATAATAAATAAAAAGTAACTTTTCGGTAGGTAACTAAGTTCTTTTTAGGTAACTTAGTTACCAGAAAGTAACTTAGTTACTTTATAAGTAACTAAGTTCCTCTGAAATTGGAAAAGTTATAAGTTACTTTTAGAAAGTAACTAAGTTACAAGTTACTTTTAGTGTTATTTCAAAAGTAACTAAGTTACAGTAACTTAGTTACTTGAAAGTAACTTAAATTTTAGTTACTTCCCAGCTCTGTATGCGCGCAAAATTTTATACAGAGTGCTGAAAAAATGGTGAATCAATACCTTGGATGAAAAATAACTGGGTTTGCTTGTCAAAATGTATGAAGCCAACATCAATAGCGCCATCAAAAGGCAGTTGTCCATTTTGTGAAACAAAGTTTGACACACGTAAATTTTACCAGACATAATTATAAGTGTTATAGCGGTTTTATGTAATTTTGTGTTAGTTAGTTGCAGGGTTTAAGCTGGGCAAAAATTACTTTGCGCAAAAGTGATATAGGCTCTCAGAGAACTGTAGCAAAAGTAATTTTCTTGTGTCATTTGATACTTATTGATTAATAGTTATTTACATAAGTCAGGAAAATGATATTTAACTGGCGAGGAAATATTGAAGTGCGAGACCCCTTTGGGGCCGAGTACTTTAATTTCCGAGTCAGGTAATGGCATTTTACTGACGATTTTTGTATTAAATTTTACCCAAAATCGTCTTTTAATAAAAAATTTCAATTTTTATATATAACTTTTGATTAATATCACTCTGTCAGCGATGACAGGAGTCATTATAGACATTTGGAAATGTCAAAAATGCGGTCGTAAAGTGACGGTGCGGCCAGTAAAGTGACAAGCGGCAGGAAACGTAGTCTGCTCTGCCTGTGTCATGGAAACTACAATTTCCTGACAGAAAGTAGGCAATGAAAATGAGGATTTCAGGACGATTTTGGGTAAATGTATGTTACTCATTTCCGTGCCTTTGCAAGTTACATTTCTTCGGCAATATGAAATAAGCTCAAACCGTTGAGTGAATTATTTAATTACTCAATGCTCAGACTCCTTCAATTTCATTTGATTTTCCTTGTCACAAAAATGCGATAACCTGCCTCAACAATGTCGCAATTTTGCCTTCGCGTTCGCAAAATGCGACCGCAGCTTAATCCCTGGTTAAGTTGTATTACTTTTATATAATTAATTAAACATGAGACGCTGAAGTTTTTCGCGTAAGTAAAAGGCTAATTCAGCTCCTTCAATTTTTCCAAGTCCATCAAATGAAAATGTCTCAACGAAAGGAATTAATTTCTACCAACCATAGCCCTCCTATCCTCCTCGACCTCTTACCGTGATCGGGTATATTTCCTTATACCTCAAGAAAGGATTGTCGGAAGAGGGTACTCACAAAGGACGATTGAGACGTTTGCAACAAATATATCCATTGGTGATGTCAAAACAAAAGCTATTTCGGTTAAAAAAAAATGCGCTTTATCTGCACAAGAGTTGTGCACAATTTATACCTACCTACTTGTTTTATTGGTGTCGTGTTGCCACATTAGTTTACGAAACAATATTTTTATCCCAATTTTTTCGACCTCTTTTTAGTCGGAACCAGTCGCATTGGAAACCTCGCCAAACCTATATCAAAACATTTATGGCGATAGTTTTGAGACTTCACCTTCTTCGTTCTTATGACCCTCCAGAGTCCAGACCTTTCGAGGCTTATATTNGCGCTAAAGCTTTTTAGACCGTTTTTTGAAATGCTTACGAACTTCTCAGAGTTTAAACTTTACTGTATATTTTGTGAAAAACGAGGTAGTAAAATATGTCAATGTCACATGAAGTTTTCGTCTATTACGTAGGTACATTATCTATTTAGTTTCGATAACGATATCAATGTTTTTCTTAAAACGTGTAAGGGTGGTCAACCTTGGAATTATAAAGTATCGGATAATGCGCCACAACGTCTGCGAAATCTCATGCGTATGCGTCTCACCAATTATGGTCTTTTAAAATTATACACATTTCAACGTTTATTCGTTGGTAAATATAAACACACTTTTAGTTTCCTTTGTGAACTGTTTTACATGCCACCTTAGCCGTACCACAGTCATAAGTTTTGATCCAACGGTTTCCGCGGAGAACCAGTCGTTCGAGCAGCATCCAAATGTTGAAACGGACCCGTGAATCATTTTGGGTTTCGGTTCAAGTAAAGAAAGTCTGAGTGGCATTTATCATATGTATTTATTTGTATGAGGACCACCGGCGAAATACTTTTAGGATAATACAAATAAGTGGGATGAATAATTTTTAGGAAAACAATAAATTATGTTTAGTTAGCAAAAGGTGCACAGGTTAAAATGGTTGGTGTCGTGTGAAGTCTATCTAGGAAGGGATGTTTCAAGAATCGGGATGTTTAATTAACAAATGAATTGATTGTAGTTACTATGATTTTGGTTGCTTCCATTAATTGTTCTTCGGTAATGACGAGAGGAGGCATGAACCGAATGACGTTATCTGCTGCTTGAATTGGGATTATTCCATTGTCTCGAAGTTTTAGGCAAATTTTAATCGGCGTAGTTTTTAAATCTATAACGATTCAAATAAACACATAAGTAAAAAGGTGAAAAACTTAAGGCACCTTCTTTTAAAACAATCGAATTCATGAGTCCTTTTCCACGAATCTCTGTCACAATAGATTTAGATATTTTCTCCAATTCCTTCCTGAAAATCTTTCCCAAACGAAGCGCATTTTCCGCCAAACCTTCGTCAATAGTCACTTTCAGAGCAGAAATTGCTACTTTGCACGCAAGGGGATTTCCTCCATATGTACTAAAATGTTCACCTGGTTCAAGACAAAGAATGGTTTCGTCGTTAGCCAAAACTGCCGAAATCTAAAAAATTATAATCTACAAAGAATAGATATGCAGCAATCCTCACCGCCATCACTCCACCAGACAAAGCTTTTCCCAAACATACTAAATCGGGTTTCACACTTTCGTGATCTGCGGCTAACAACTTTCCGGTACGTCCCAAACCAGTTTGAATTTCATCATCTATCCACAGTACGTTGTATTTTGTGCAGATATATCGTACGCCTTTAAGATAGCCTGGGGATGGCACACGTCCACGTTCACCTTGAATGGGCTCTACCATAAACCCACAAATATTGGGATCATCCTTCAATAAATTCTGCAAACAACACTTTAGCTTATTCGACGAGATAACATCATCGTACTTCTAATGCGTGTAGGTCATCGTAAGGAATGAGGAGAAAACCTGGCATATACGGACCATAAAACTTTTTGCATTTGGGGTCGGTCGATGTAGAAATGGCAGCTAAAGTTCTTCCCCAGTAATTACCTTCTGCAAATACGATCTTAGCTTCATTATCAGGAATGCCTTTCTTAAGATAGCCCCATCTTCGTGCAATTTTGCAAGCCATATCTCCTGCTTCTACTCCGCTACTGACTGGTAAAACTTTATCGTATCCAAATAAGCTAGTGATGTATTGTGCGTACTCGCCCAGAGTTTCAGCGTAGAACGCTCTACCCGTTATTGTCAATATACTGGCCTGTTTTTGTAAGGCTGACACAATTTTCGGGTGACAGTGTCCTTGGTTTACAGCCGAAAAAGCGCTAGTGAAATCCACATACCTTTTCCCTTCTCCATCCCAGAGGTAAATCCCTTCAAATATGGCATCTGTTTATCAAGGTGAGGAACTATTTAGTTATTACCTTGTCCTCTAGTAATTGAAATCGGAAGTGAATCTGTGTGATGCACCCCGTAACGTTGTTCACGCTCGATAATGAACCTCGAGTCATTTGCTTCTTTTCCCAATTCCCCGTTTTGTTGGTTTCGAGTTTCCATTTGGATATCAACTTGGAAGTACGCGGTTCCTGTACACAAATCTGGCGTTATACCGTAAACGAAAATTGTGTAAAGCTTATCTGTTATCTTTATCAGTTAAATGTAATATCAACACTTGGAAATAATACAAATCTTTTTTTTTTGTCACATTGATCTATTATATTGTCACGCATTTCAGGAATTAAGTACAGTGCGAGGTACAGTTAATTTTTTTAATCCACACCTATGCCGATGCTGTTAAAAATACGTCAGTTATATATTTTAAAGAATCAGTCCTAGCATTGGAAAGTGCTTTATTCAATCGTCCTGGTACAATTTTGCTAATCTGATTTACCCTTCACGCATTCAAGAAATTAAGAATAGGTATCTACAATTTATCTTTTGATCCTTAGTTATTGCTTTTATGGCTAAGAGAGAACAAATTGTACAATGGCACTTTAAAAGCATTTCGTATAGTGATTTTTGAGGGTCTTACGCGAATGTCAATGATATTATTCAGTTATGAGTTATTAAGGAGCACTATGCAAAAAAGTTCGTGTACAACACGTGTTGAAATTACTCATTAATCAAACTGAAAAATACTTACCAAAAATCTCAAAAAATAATTCGTTCTAATAATCGTCGCAATAAATACCCAAATCACAGAAATATGAGCTTAGACTTAGGGTCGGTCAATTTATTAGATAGATTTTACTCAGGATGTTCCTAAATATTGTAACGGAAATGCTCCAGACATGACGTCGCCTTTGGCGCTCTGGAATTTTCTACGCGTATTCGAGAATGTTCGGGACTTACATTGCTTGCGTGTATAAATGGTTGCGGACCAAACATCGCGGGAGTCTACTATCGAACGAGATCGAGTACGGACGAAACATAGAGCGCGAAAAGCTGATATAAATTTCGAAGTGTGTGATATAAATAATCGATATAAATTGTACGGATTTTATAGTGTTTTAGTTCTGTTTAATAAATATTGATATAAATCGAACCCGAATTTATAAATAACGTTACATTGGTGTCAGAAGTGGGATTAATTAAATTAATTAAAAGTAAGATTAAATTAAGTGGTTGTGCTTGTGTATGCCTGTAACAAGATCTGCTGCCGCTAAAATGGAAGAAACGATGCTCAATTTGCTCCAGCAAATCCAAAATGGCCAACAGGTGTTGCAACAAGAAATGAAAAGCACCCAAGAGAAGTTCGAAGAAAATTCTAGAAAGATTAATGAAGAAAATTCTAGAAATATTCAAGCGAAGTTCGAAGAAAATTCTAGAAAGATTAATGAAGAAAATTCTAGAAATATTCAAGAGAAGTTGGAAGAAAATTCTAGAAATTTTGAAGAGAAGTTCGAGAAAATGGAAGAAAATTCTAGAAAGATTAATTAAGAAAATTCTAGAAATATTCAAGAGAAGTTCGAGAAGTTGGAAGAAAATTCTAGAAGGATTAATGAAGAAAATTCTAGAAATATTCAAGAGAAGTTCGAGAAGTTGGAAGAAAATTCTAGAAATATTCAAGAGAAGTTCGAGAATTTGGAAGAAAATTCTAGAAGGATTAATGAAGAAAATTCTAGAAATATTCAAGAGAAGTTCGAGAAGTTGGAAGAAAATTCTAGAAAGAAATATTCAAGAGAAGTTCGAGAAGTTGGAAGAAAATTCTAGAAATTTTGAAGAGAAGTTCGAGAAAATGGAAGAAAATTCTAGAAATATTCAAGAGAAGTTCGAGAAGATGGAGGAAAATTCTAGAAGGATTAATGAAGAAAATTCTAGAAATATTCAAGAGAAGTTGGAAGAAAATTCTAGAAAGAAGTTCGAGAAAATGGAAGAAAATTCTAGAAAGATTAATGAAGAAAATTCTAGAAATATTCAAGAGAAGTTCGAGAAGTTGGAAGAAAATTCTAGAAATATTCAAGAGAAGTTCGAGAAGTTGGAAGAAAATTCTAGAAATTTTGAAGAAAAAGTTGAAGATAGAATTACGGAAGTTTCCAAAACATTTAAAGCAACATTCGTTGAGATTGAGCACAAGTATGAAGAGCTGCGCAAGCAATTCTTGCGACTGACTACGAAAGAGCGTACTAGTAGTGCCCCAGAAACAAATACAAGAGTAGAAGGCGACGTTCAGCAAGCCCGAGTAAAGCCACCTACTTTTGATGGTAAGATTCCTTGGACCTCGTACGTTCGACAGTTTGAAGCAGCGGCTGCGGCAAATAAATGGACTCTTCAAGACAAAACTACAGCCCTGATTCTTGCTCTGAGAGGAGATGCTCTGGATGTGTTGCGGACTATCCCCGAGGATCAACAGAACTTCCAACAAATCGTAGCGCGACTCGAAATGCGATATGGCGATAAACACCTTCAGCAAGTTTACTATGTCCAAGTCAAGAACCGAATGCAGAAACCTGGAGAAAGTTTGCAGGAACTTGAAGCGGACATCGCTAGACTGATTCGAATGGCATACCCTACGGCACCGGAGAGCTTTCTTGATCAACTGGCTGTACAAACATTTATCGATGCCGTTCGTGTTGGAGATGCCCAGCAGGCTTTGAGACTGGCTAGGCACGACAAAATTGAGAAAGATTTGGCCCATGCGTTAGAATTCGAAGCCGCCAAGAAAGCTAGTCATGGAAGTGCGCGAGTACGTATGGTGGAACCTCGCAGTGAGAGCCGGGTAAGAACCATCGAAGAGGAAGGTGGCTCTGAAAGTTTTGAAGAAAAGGTCAGTAAAGAAGTGGAAGAAAAGATCAATAAAGCAATACAGTCACTGGCAAAGAAACGTGAACCACGGCGAGATTGGACACGTTCGCCGCAACTGCCAAAAACCATTACAGCAGTCGGAAAACTAAGAAAGGTCGACAGGAAGGGGCTATCCCCGACCTGCAGAAACAAAGCCCCGGTCTGCACTGTAAACATTACGTCGTCTGGAAAAGTTCACAATAATGCAGACGCTTTGTCAAGAAGATCGTGCAAAGACAACTGCACACATTGTTCTAAAATAGAAGACAAGATTGGCCATCTGCGACGAACAACTGTAGAGAGTGAGGAATGGAAGCCAAGCGAAATCAAAACGGCCCAAGAAAACGACCCAAGTATAAAAACTGTTCTGAATTGGATGCGCCACGGACAAAGACCAGGCTGGCAAGACATTAGTGCCACAGGTCCTGAAGTAAAGAGTTATTGGGGGCCAATGGAATAGCCTGACTCTGAAAGACAACCTGTTGTATAGGACCCTTGAAAGTGAAGATGGCACCGAATCGACGCTGCAATTAGTAGTACCTAGAAGCAAAGTGTCGGAAGTATTGCGAAAATTGCATGACGGCGCTTCCGGAGGACACTTTGGTATTACGAAAACGTTGCAAAGGGTACGTGAGCGATTCTATTGGGTCAACCGTAAAGAAGATGTCCGGCGATGGTGTCAAAAATGTGAGTTATGTGCTACTGGAAACGGACCAGTTTCCAAGAAGAAGGCACCCATGAGGCAGTATAACGTTGGTAGTCCGATGGAACGAGTTGCTATCGATATCGCAGGACCGTTTCCCGAGACAGATGGCGGAAATAAATATATCCTAGTGGCTATGGATTATTTCACAAAGTGGACTGAAGCTTACGCCATTCCAAACCAAGAGGCAGCAACAGTTGCAGAAGTGTTGGTAAAGGAGTTCTTTACACGTTTTGGTGTTCCTATAGAAATCCATTCAGACCAAGGAAGGAACTTTGAATCGGCTTTGTTCCAAGATGTTTGTCGATTGGTAGGAGCCAATAAAACAAGAACAACACCTTTGCATCCTCAGTCAGATGGAATGGTTGAGAGAATGAATCGAACGATGGGTAAATATCTTTCAAAAGTCGTGGCAGAACATCAGAAAAATTGGGACCAGTACCTCCACCTGTTCCTTATGGCATATCGATCAGCCGTCAACGAGACCACGGGTCAGACTCCTGCCTGCCTTATGTTGGGTCGTGAACTACGGCTTCCATGTGACCTCGAGTTTGGGCGTAAACCCCATGAAGAATATGTCGCAGGTGAAAATTATGTTGACCAACTAAAGGCGAAGATGAATGACATTCACGACTTGGCTAGAAGTCATATTCAGATTGCCAGCGATCGCATGAAAAATCAATACAACCTCCGCTCGGCCAATGAAACTTTTGAAGCTGGAGATCTGGTATGGCTGCACAATCCACAGAGACGAAGAGGTCTTTCTCCCAAGCTACAAAGACAATGGGAAGGTCCGTATGAGGTGATCAAGAAAATAAATGACGTGATATATCGTATCAGAATGAACCACCGGAAACCGAAAGTTGTCCACATTAATCGACTCGCACGATATGCCGGATCCAACAACAACGAAGAAGTTAGAGGTATTCGAGAAGAGGAACGCAGCTTTGGGATCGAGCCAAACTTTAACGATTTTATGTCAAATTACGCCCAGCGGAAGAAAGCTCGATTTGGCGTTACTCAGGAAATTTGTCAAACTATTTTTGAGCTTCCGGTTAACGTTTCCATCGCCCATTGTGTCGCCGAAGACCTTCGCATGGGTAGAGGTATAGCTTCCGTATTCCGGAAAAGATTTGGAAGAATAGACGAGTTGATAAAGCAAAGACCACGAGTGGGTAAAGTACTGCGCTTGGAAGATAGTCAACGCTCTTTGTTCTACTTGGTTTCAAAGAAAACGTCAAAAGGCAAACCCACCTATGAAAACCTCTGGTCTGCTTTAAAAAACTTAAAGAAACTCATGGCATACTATGACATAAATAGCTTGGCGATCCCGAAGATTGGATGTGGTTTAGATGGGTTGGACTGGAAGATAGTGCGAACCATGATCGAAGTGATTTTTAGAAACACTAGCGTTCGAATTACAGTATGCTGCTTCAACCCACAGGGGACGACCCTCCGCAAAACTGTGGACTGTTACTTTTTCAAGAAAGGTGTTTGTCGAGCAGGCTCTGACTGCAGATTCCGACACGAGGCATTAAAAAGTAATACTAACGCAGTTTCTGAACGAGACGTCCAGAATTAAGAAGGGGGCAGTGTAACGAAAATGCTCCAGACATGACGTCGCCTTTGG